AACAGTCTTGCAGAACGACGAACTTCACAGGGCACGTCTCACCGTGGATCTCGACGCGAGCGGTGCATCTCCCGACTGGTGTGATGAGGTGCCCTCCGGCGGTTCGTATTTGTGGTTCGTCCCACGGCGTGGTAACTTTTCGAAGGCGGCGGGAGAGCCTCCCACTCAAGACCGAGTAGTCTCCTCCGGTGCCCACGAGTGTTGATGTGTCGTGGCCGTCAATGACGACGTTTAGGTTATTGGACACCGCTGCAGGAGCGTCGTTTCGGTCTCTGGTAGCGTTCGAGTGGGGGCCCTCCGACGTTCGTGGAGGATCTTGGCGTCGGTCGTCTTCGGCAACTCCACCTCCAGGGGTTGCCGCGCCTAGTTTCCCCGGCGAGGAGCGAGGGGTGACAGGCTTTCACGTCGGGGTCGATGCATCGGCGAAGCTGGACGCCGCGGTGACGGCGACCGGAACTCTCGGCGGGACGCAGGCTCGGGGGATTGGGGTCGTCGCAGGTACTCGTCGATCTCCCGAGGGCGTTCACCACACCGGGGGCGCGGGTCGCTTGGGTGGAATCCGCGCAGCCCGAGTCGTCGGTATAGGCATCGGCGGTACACATGGTCAGCTTCCCCGCAGTGGTAACACAGCGGGCGTCGGTCGGCCGTCCTCCAGACGTCTGTCTTCCTCGGCGCAGGTCGCTCTGGGGGAACGTGCGCCTGATCTTCCTGTCGTCGGGGGTATTGCGGCGTTGGGGCGTCTCTTCGGGGCGGCGCCGTGGCTTGGCGGGAAGCTTGCGGCGGTCGTCGGGCCATGGCGGCGTACCTCAACGTCGGTTCCTCCGGTGCCACCGTGGTGACGGGAACCTCTGGTTGGAGCGCCCGATGCACTTCTTCTCGGACAGCCTCGGCGATGGAAATGGTTGGCGGACGGCTGGTGGTTGGCAGCAACCTTCGCAGTTCCTCCCGGACAACCTCCCGGATAATTTCGCGGATGTCCGTACCAGGCGCGTTTTCGCCGCTAAGCAGCGCGCTTGCAGTGACGCTTGGCTGCCGCTGGCAGTGGGAAGCGCGCGCTTGCAGGGTGCGCTCGATGTTTGTCGCCTCGCTGACGAAGGCGTCGACGGTTGCCGGCGGGTTGCGGACGAGGCCTCCGAAGATGTCGTCCTTCACTCCCCGCATCAAAATGCGCAGTTTCTTTCCCCCGGTGGCCTGAGGGTCGGCGCGGGAGCTCAGGCGGAGCACGTCTTCCACAAAGCTCGTGACGCTTTCATTGGTGCCCTGGGTCCTGGTTCGCTGTAGGTCCTCGGCTCTCTCTCGGCGGTGGTGGTTGACGAACGTAGCCTTCAGATGGGTCTTGAAAATGTCCCACGACGTCAAAGAGGACTCATGGTTCTCGTACCAGTGCTTGGCGGTCCCCTCAAGCGAGAAGTAGACGTTGTGCAGGCGCTGCTCGTCGGTCCAGCCATTGTGGCGGGCAACGCGTTCATACTGGTCAATCCAGTCTTCGACGTCTTCGTAGGGTTCACCGTGGAAGGGGGCAGCCGTCCGCGGTGCGACGGGCATGTAGATGACGGGAGAAGCGGCGGGGGCTTACGACTGGTTTGCCATCGTCGTCTTCTGTGGCTTGGGCTTGTCCAGGAGCAAACCGTACTCAGGATCCTCTCCCTTGGTGCGGCGGCTGGTCCGAGTTTCAGGTTCTACGGTGAGTGGTCTTCTCACCGAGCCGGGAATCGGACTTGCACTGCGGGCCCTTCGAGGGGAACGCTGCACGGGCACGCGGTACCCCGCACCTCCACCAAAATGTCACGGGTAGTGACCAAAAGAACAGTAAATAAACAGAAAGAAATAAACGTTTAATGTGGCGAACTTGTGCCAAAACTAAAAGGGTACAAAGATAATAACAGAGCGTCGCGGGCGTCGAAGTCGGCGTAGCAGCACAGTCGAACGCTGGGGCGAAACTAAATCCTGCTTGCCAGGCGTAGCCGCTTTTGTACACGCGTTGGCTTCTGGAGCATTCGATGTAGAAGGTTCGACGCGTAGAACATTCTAACCTCGAATCAGCTAGACGGTTCTCGAATTCACCAGAACATCACATTACAGTGTAAACAAACATGCGTAGCCGCGGCCAGGAATCGAACCCTGGCCCTTCGCGTGGGAGGCAAGCGCGATAACCGTTAGGATATTGCCGCGCTGCCTACTTGGCGCGCGGCAATATCGTTGCTAGGGGCGTTGCTATGGGCGAATGCATGGAGACTCCACATGAGGCTAGATTTTTGTTTACAAGTAAGTAGACAATTCTTTGTAAGCAACCTAACTTCTTGATATCTAATTATGAAGATGTTCTTGTCGTCTCAGTGTCGCATTGCAACGATGAAAGCCATTTCTGAAGTACCACTTTGCCATTGGTAGCAGACGACACGATAGATTTGCTGGCCTCTGTTGCAGCGGGCGTCTTCATTGAATTGCGTCGGTAAACGAGTGACAAAAACAAGCGCATCGCCATGGCCGTAGAGACCTCCGCAATGTGCGTTTTTTTCTGTGAAGAACCCAGCTTAGCTCAGAAGGATGAAAATGCAATAAAATCAAACCACGTCATGCAGATCAGTTACGACGACGACCTGAAGTGCATTACCGGCGTAGTGCAGGCCAGCATGAGCAACAAGTCGTACGCCGTCGGGGTAAGTCATTTACTATTATAATTATTGAGGCTTGTACTAAATACTAAACTAAAAATGTGGTCGGAACAGGAGAACATGCGAAGAGCACAATGCAAAAGCATCACCAAAGGTAGAAATATAAGCATAAACAAAATAACCGGATAACGCATGGACACAGGCATACTTCTCAACGCTGTTTTACCATAGCAGTGTAAGACTACTGCAAGTTTGAGCTGGATTTTACTTTCACTACTACTTGCATGTAACTAATATTATAGCAATAATATATAAATATAGAGCCATATTTTAAGACATTATGACCGAACAGAATATCGGTTTTACGTGTTCTCGGTTGGTTTGGCCCCTTTTTTACATCAAGGAAACTGTCCGCCAGTAAGTACTCACCTTATGTTTTTTTTATTGTTTTTTATCCAGTTCTTTCGCGCTTTGCGGTCTTGCGGAAATCTGAAAAAACTGCAATATACTTTTCTCCACGCGATGGCTACAACCAGGCACGAAGCACCCTCCCCCATAGCGCGAGTACGCAAACAAAATTTGGGATCTCAAGTCAACCGATCGCCTGAAGTGCTTTTCTCACGGGTGCAATGCGACCTTTTAGCAGACGATTATCACGATCGACGCCCGGACTTTCAATAAATCATATTTCGCATCGCACCCACTATGCATTCTTATGTGTCTGAAACTCATTTGATTTCAAACAAATGCAATATCAGAATATCGTCTTTATTCACTCGATTCGAACGACGCCGGCTTGGCCGTTCGGCGTGTGGCAGACGGCACACTTCTTGCATTCGTCGTCTGCTGCAGCCTGAAGGCATCTTGAGGACCGGAAGTTGCAGTCGTAAATAACCGAAGAATTTCAATAGCTTTCGGAAAATATGTACTTCGGTAAGCGTAAAGATATTTTTCGTTGCGTTAGAGAGTGAAACAGGCGGCTCGCGCTCGCGGAGCGGATTCTTGTTTCCCCGGTGAGATGAGAGCAATCTCTCCGTGTGCCGCTTGTAGATCTGGAGCCAGTGGGGCTAGTGGGGCGCTCGCCGAGCGGCTGCCTGCAACCGCTCCGTGGAAAAGTGGCGGAGCGCGTCGAGCGGTCCGGACTAGTTCTCCGCGCAGCCTTTTTCGGAGGAGTACGATCTGTAGTCGTCACTCGCAACGTTTCAGTTTCGTTATTGACATTCCCGCGGGGGAGTGAAGGAGTTTCGCGGTTTTTTTTGTTTCGATTGCTGGGTGGGCTCTCTGGTTCCCCTCGTCATGACCGACTCGCCCGAGCGTACTGCGGCGATAACATCGTTGCAGTTAATTTCAGGAGGTCTAATAAAACGCAGTGACAGCGACGCAGATGTTAGCTAGCTCCAGCTCGAGTGACGACGACGCAGCCGTTCTCAGCGAAGTGTTTGCCGAGTCGTTTGCCTGGCCAGCGAAGAGGCCCAAGATACCGCGTTACGTCGAAGGTGTTGTGCGCGCCTATTCGGATGAAGAGCTAGGTATGTCGTTTGTTCGTTTTGCGGTCTGTGTAATGTAATTGGAATAATTAGGCGACAACACGCCAAATACTCCGCAGATAAAAGTCGCCTTCGGAGATGACGATCGCTTTACGGCATACGTGTTTGCATTAAAATCATCTGGTGGGCTAGTTAGGTAAACATCACCGTCGTCCTTGCGCTATTTCTTTAGTGATGCATACGTGTTTGGTATTGCTTAATATCATCCTACGGCTCGTACAAGTACTTCTAGTTGTCTTCATCGGGCTTATATAACTGTAAGGAAAAATAAATTGTGTCTTAACGTCGGGGTCACCGTTAATCAAGTCCTAAACAAACAATTTTTTTTGTCAAATCATAAAGTTCTGATCAGAACTTGCTTTCAGCAAGATAGCAATGGGAACCGAAACTGTTCAAAAGCGAGAGCAGACGCTCTGGAAGCGGTGGCGCTGGGAGCGTTACGCTCGATTTGCTCCGCAGCGCGTGCCATTAGGATGGATCACGTGACCGATCGCCCACAGAGGCCGACCGCCCGACGACCGCTAGCGCGGAGCTCTCGGCATTCGCCAGGGGAAGGGGCTGGAAACAAGCGATTACTGGCACACTTCTGCCGAAACATACATTCAAGCTTTCTACGTCTGTGATTTTTAGTAGTTTAAATCCCACTCCTGATTTTTTAACTGTCGGGTTTTCGTAGCGAAACCTAGCTATTTGTTCATAGCAACGACCCTAGCAACGGGTTGTTTGGACCCATGACGTCACAATCATGGAGTCAATCACGTGACATTCACGTGCTGCTCAGTGGCGCCCCCTGGCGTATCAAACACCTTCCGCCGCTCCTTCACCAGTTCCGCATATTACGCAACTCTAATATTATTTTCACCCATCCGGAGTGGCCTCTGGTTTAGCCGGCGGTGCGATCTGATCGAGCGAACACAGCCTCTGTCATATGATTAGTGAAACATGGCGCTCTGCGGTATGTTGCAGCGGATCGCGGTTTGCGCCTCGATTGTAATTTTCCTAGGTGTACCTGCACGGTCAGAAAATGTTCCCGCCTTCCTCTGGAGCTCGGATAGGTGGGTAGACCTTTCGCTCGTTTTCAATGGCGTTACGAGTCCTCGCGACGAGTTCGCCCGAAACCAAGGGGGAGTGCCGGCCCGGCTGGAGCAGTCATATGAACCGAGAGCCCCAGGTTCCGCACCCGAGTGCGGCTGAAACCCCCGCTTCTTATCCTCATAATACTGCACTTTTCCCCAAGCTTTGCCATACGGTGTGCAGACCGAAGGTTTCGTGACTCGGACAAGAACCCGAGGCATGGCGGCAGGGGCACCGGCTCGTTGGGATTGACTGCTGACAGCTTTGGAAGTCTCAAAACTAGGCAATTTGATGTATTCTTGCGAATGTTAAGAGCGGTGCTATCTCGAACCGTCTCTGGTGTTAGAGGGGAGTTGCTGCTGACGGTGGGTATTTGTTGACGCCATTCTGCCTGAAAGTGAGTGAATTAAAGCTGTCGGGGAAGCATTGTCGGAGTGCTGAGGGAAGGATAGTTTAGGCTCTGTCCAATCTGCAGGCACGAGCCTACAGCCATCGAGAAGTGCGTTCCGCTGTCAACATTCACCGGACTGTGCCATCACAGTCGGACGGTTTCGGGGGAGTTAATTAGTGAATGATTAAAGACGACAATAGTGCGTACATTTTGCTTCTCAGTCCACAGCCGTTTGCTCTTCAAAAGCATCTGAACAAAACACTTGTCTCAAATATTTCTTCCAATATTTGCTTCCTGATCATTTGTGCATCGTAAAATGTGTTGGTAACATGTTTGAAACGGGGTGGGATGGTGGCTTAAACTTGCTCACTTTCTTCCGCTCCTATGACATCTGATGTCCAGATTTCCCCTCGATGCTGCGATGTAACTAATTCTCCACCCGCGTAACCGTCCAACGTCCCATCGGAGTAATCTTGCGCCCAAGATACTCGGCGAATTACGACTGAACCTACCAGAAAAATTGCCTTTGCTATGTTGCAGCCACCTGAACAAGTTTCCCCAAGTGAGCTCCTTTGAGAGCATTGAGCCAAGCACTTTCTCCAAGTCCATGGAAGCACTGCTGTCCAGGGATGACACTCTCGTTGTGGCGTTTGTCCAGGATGCGGTGAGCTGGTGCTTCATGCTCTATCGTCCCTCATAGAGCCACTAAATAGCCTACGCTTAGAGTATTGACACTTGTCTCCCCTTCTGTACAGCCATTTTGTTGCCTAGTTGGCAATAGTTACAATTCAAAGATTTGACACCCTGAGCTCTGGATTCGGTGTCAAGAAGCTTGGCCGATGTCGTTTTGCCCAGTTGGGGATGGTTCTAGCATTTCTTGATGGCAGAAGAATGTTTCCCGCTCTTTCAGATAACTGGCAACAATGATTTTAGGCGACAAGATGGCTGAAGTGCCGTTGCTGTGAAGCGTAGCTCATTTAGTGGGTCAAGGGGCACGGAGCTCCTCTCTAATGTGGCATCCTGTACCGATCGGGCAGTGAAGTCTGGTTCTAAAGGTAGCGGTGCCATCTTAAGCCGAATTTTTGCAACTCTGAATTGTGCCGCAGCCTAACCACGACGCGGCGCTCGTGTCCGATCGCTCGGTATCGTGTGGTAGTACTGGCCAGAGTTGACCTACTTGGCCACCAGGTGTGCCCACTAGCAGCCAAGTAAGGTGCTATGATGTTTGCTGGGAAGAAACTGCTTGACACTGTTAGCACGAGGAATTGATTCCAGACTTCTTTCGGTGTGTTTTTTAGAGCCAATAGGCTGTCATCAAAACTTTTAGCGGGGTGAGAAGTGCTTGTATGATGCACTAACCTAGGCAATGAAATAGGATGCCAGCCAGTACCCTTTCAAAGTAAAACCCCCAGAAATGCCAATATCGTGTTTGTGGTAACAGTATTGCACAGTGTACTTGTCCAGACCAAAATAGCCCTTTTTGGTCTCAGCAATGCTGACCGGCAGCCAAATGAGGTGCCACCTGTCCACTATCGTGAGGCTACGGCGTTTGATGAGAAGGCGCCGTTCTCAAGTCCACGTTCTCCATGGAAGTAGGCGTGGCCACAAAATGTCCTCTCAGTTTCTCGACCAATAAGGGGGGGTACCATTGTTTTTGGTGCAAACAACTGCGTTGCCGTGGTAGTGCAATTGCTTGCATTGGAATCCATTGCTACGCTCAGTATTACTCCAAGGGACAAGGACCGCAATAGCGGAGACTCTTTTGCATCTACGCCGTCTCGCGTCCACGTGTTTAAAACTTTTCTGCCGCGGCTGACAGCCCCCTGTGTACCAGAGGCTCAGAATTCATTGGCAAGCAACAGCAGTGGTAGCGTGGCTTCTACTCCGACGATTTGGACATGATCTGACATGCAAGGACACATTGTTGCTGCAACTTTCGTAGCTTAGCCATCGCCTTTGCGTGTCGGTTAAGCAGTGCCAGGGTTCTCTTATGGCTGGGGTGATTTTTGTCAAGTCATAGATGCATATTCTTGCCCTAAAAAAAAATTCAATTGGGAGAATAACTAAGCATGTTCTGTAAATAACATAGGTAGCATGTTGAGTATATGTAGTATGGTGATAGATAGAACGTCTTAGTTTCCTATTGCATTGAAAACGTTATTCCTCTAACGTCCCTGAATGTAGAATTCAGAGAGATGCTTGTGCTCTCATCATCTATTGCCCCGCCCGCCGTAATCTAAGCTTACGTGTTCTTTGTTCAAAACCTGGTCATGCTGCCTGTAACCAAGTTGAGGCAAATAGGGGCTGAAAACATGCGATGAGTAGGCACTGATACTTGCCACCTCAACTTCCTTCCCTTTTGAGTTAAATGCAGGTTGCAGGAATCTGATTGGGCATTATATTTGTACATAACTCGCACTGTTCAGGGCTTCGCTGCTTATGGAGGTGCTCCAGGTTTGTCATCAACATTCTTTTCTTGTTTCAGCTGAGCATGGAAGACCTTTCCAAAAACTCTGCAGATGACAGCACCTACAAGTACCTCAAGGTGAGCCCAATGTTGTCACCTCTGTTTCTGGCCCCAAGCGTGACCGATAAATCTGCCCCTGCTTCGAACTAACCGAAAATTAGAATAAAGCGTCTTCGAATAACCGGGAGTCGACCGTATGAGGTAGCATTGTTTTTCATTGCATGCTCGTGCGTACTGCTGCACGTAAAATAAAAAGAAACAGCCCCGTTAGGAGGGACAAGGAGCAAATCGAATTCAAGAGCACGCGGGAATGCGCCCAAGGGCACACTCGGGCGTGCCACTCAAAGGGTTAGCCTAACACGCACACACAGACAAAGAAACATTTTTTCCGAGGCATAAAGTCTGCCCCCCTCTCTTGCAACGGATGATGCTAGCCTACAAATTTATTGCCAGTCCACTTTCGTTGGAACCTGGCGTAGCCCTTGTCGGCTGAGCTGGAACGGTTACGGCCAACCGCCGCCGTCTTTATTGCCGTGGACCCCAGTCCTTTGCCAAAAGCGTCCTAGGTGTTTTTCTTTAGTATTGCAACAGAGCTGGCGTGTCAGACTGTCTAGAAGTTGCGGCAAAATAAGCAAGGAGCGCGAGTTTCGCCTTCGTCGAGGCGTCCGAGCCGACGACTACCAAAGCTCTCACGAACGGCGGAAGAAGGGTCTACCGTATTCCGCTCCATCATTGCGCCACTGCCGGCACTGCAATGGGCGGGCGCGACACGAACGCGACGGCGTGTGGACCCTCGAAAGTTTTCGCCTTCCCGCGTTTGCAGTCGGCTTTCGAGAAGAGCCCGGTAGTGGTGCTGCCCTCCGTGGTCGACCCGGTGGACGGCCTGTCTTCGTCGGCCGGCGAGGCCCGGATGACGCGGGTGTCCGTGGGGGACCCCTCGGACGTGCAGTCAGCCCTCGACGGCCTCCGGGACCGCCACAGGCTGCTGCTGGTGGACCTGCCCGAGACCAGCGGCGGAGACCGGGCGCTGGCACTGCAACGGGCCGGTTCGTTCTTCCTTCTCTCCTGGGCTCCGCGCGTACGATTGGGCGGGTGCTTGTAGGGACGCTGAGCCGGCGTGCCCGGATTACGGGGTGTTTCCATCCGCTCCATAGGGGCCGCATGGAGCAGCCACATTTGTGTCACGGGCTGTGAGGAGGAGTCTAAAGCATCCGTTGTCCTCTAGCATCTCTACCTCTGCTCCCTTTTTCCTCCTCGCGCCACTGTGACACGTCACCAATTAAATTGCTGGAGGTGGCACCCATTAAATTGCAAATGCTGCCCCAAATTTGAGTTGCTCTCTCTCCTAAATCTAGGCCGTTTACACCCAACTCTTGAAGAAAATTTCCAACGCGAAATGTCTTGTATGGCTGGTTTCTAGCCACTTCCGTAACGCACTTGCGCGATGCAAGAGCGTGATGGGAGTGTTACGCCGGTCTTCGACTGGAGCTTCGAAGAAAACTGGGAGACGAGAAATCGCAGGGTCGAAGCTGCGGCGTGCAACCGCAAGAGACGCAAACTTTGTGTTCCTATCCCGCCTGAGCGCCGGCTCTGACAGGAACTTCTTTGAGTACGATGATGTTAGCGTCGTTCAGGCATAAAATGCATACAGTGTAAGCTCATTACAACAGACTTGGTTGCAACAGACATTTGGATATAAAATACCGATTTGTGAAGTTCGTTTGGTTTTCCTCTACATACAATACCATGGACTCAACTTTATATCTGCATACAACACACTCCTCTTAAAACAGACCGAAATCTTGGTCAAAATTACGGTCTGTTATAACGAGCTTAGACTGTATAAAGCGGCATTGGTAGTGACTATTTCCACGTCGGCGACGTCAGTTCCGTAAAATGTCAAAATAGTGTCCCCCATCAAATTCAGCCGTCCCGATGATAGCCATTGTGTTATGTTTAGTTTCTGATGATGTTATTGCTGTTGTGTTGACCGGTTGACGGAGTCATACGTCACTGTGCCCCATGCCTGAGAAGTTGCGGTCCTACTTGGCACTGGAAATGCACTGTTTGGCATGGGTGTGCTCGACTGGCTCAACACTTGATCCTTTTGGACGTGATGCTCCTGGCGGCAATGTTCTGGGCTCTCACGCCTCATTTCGGCATGCTTCTCGCTTAAAATATTTTTCCACAGGAAAAGCGAGCTAGATATTCCTCTATTTCACGTAAAAAGTGCTAGTGCGTACACTATGTAACACTGAGAGTTTAACACGCTTTTTGTGCTTCCAAGCCTCAACTACCGTGCGAGTGCATATTCATATGGTTGCAGTCTCGCTTTGCATCTGCCTCCCGCCGTGTTTTTAGCCAGGTTTCGTGAGTGATGTTTAATTTAGATTTTCGTTTTGGTACTGGTATAACGAGTGGGTTAACTACGAAACAATCAGGATGTTAAATAAAATACTGTGAATCCAAACATGTTTCTTAGCCGGTGCGAGCAATCAAAGATTCTGATGCACCGAGCAAAACATTCTCATACTGCAGTCTGCGTCGCGGTTCTACGAGATACACAAATTTTTTTACTCCAAATGTCTTCTAGTAGACTGGAAATCTAATGGCGCGACGTTCAGGTCCTTTCTCTTTATAAAACGCGTGAAATAAATCGTGAAAAGCTATGGTGCCGCATTCCGTAATTTTAGCACAATTATGCGAACATTACGTGCAGACCAATAGCTGATGTATATATTTTTTTGGCATTTCCCATCACTTAAATGGATACTGACAGGGCATTTGTACTCACTGAGGTTTTTATTGGAAGATGACCTATAAGAGCCCAACTACCCAGAACACAGTTTGCGGCTCGAAATTCGTTTTCTTTCCATCCAAAAACAGCTGGTCAAGAATTGGCCAGTTTGAGTCGCGCTCACTCTCTTCTCCTTGGTCACAAGCCGTTCAAACTGTGTATCAGATATATTAGAGGTTGTGGGTCATCTAAGGCACATATCCAATTTTAAAGATATAAAAAATATTAACCTTATTTTTGTTGATAAAAAAAATTAAAAAATTGTTTCACAGACCACAGGTAGTACACGTACACGTCATTCTCAATACGGCGACATACCGTGGGCTGGACAACGCAGTGGTGGCGCACGACAGACCAACATTGTTATGGCCATGGGGCCGCAACTTCGGAAGTGTTGTTCATAGTACTGTTGAAACTGGTTATAACAAAGTCTTTTATAACGAAATAACGGCTACAGCGAAGCGATCACTATTTCCCATTCCCTTTTGCACTTTGTTATAACCAAACTCGGTTATAACGCAATAGCGGATATAGCGAAGTGATTTCCCATTCCCGTTGACTTCGTTATAACCGGTCTCGACAGTACCGGCTAATCGACCTTAAAACGCAGAACTTTGAGTGGAACGGATAAGAGTGCAAAACAATCGCACCACAAATGGTGCATGCGAATTCGTCGTCGTCGTCTGCTTCACACACCGGAGAAGACAAGAAGAAAGAAAAAAGTGTGGTGGGGTGTAACCACATACCTTCCGGCCATGATCTTCCATTCTTTGGGTTTCAGTTTCGAGCAGTTGAGTTTCTTGGCTTTATTAAAAATATACGGGACTCTGCAGCAAAATATGTAATGGGTAGTCTCCCGACACCACATTAAACAGCCTGGCAATAAGATTAAAAATTGGGAGGGAGGGAGGGGGCTGCTGCTGGTGTCCTTTTGAAAGATCCTGAAAATTGCAGTCGACCGCATAACATTTGTTTTAGGAAAATGCATGTTGAACCGTGGCACCGCCTCAGGAAAGGTTATATTTTTTTTACCGTCACTTTCAATCGCTTTCCAGTTCGGACTGCAAAGCCCCAAAGCTGTCCGAAGTTCCAAGTTTTGGAACCTCAAAATAATTAAAAAGTTATCTTGATGGGGACGTGAAAATAATTTTTAAAATATTTTCTCCTCTTTAGGAAGTGGCGTCATGGACGTCAAAATAATACTTATTATTTTGAACGTGGACTTCGAAATAGTCACTGCCTTCTGCATTATCATTCCCTCTGTCACAACAATGAGCCTGATAATTATCGCAAGGTCATAGTTCTATTAATGAAATTCTATCATTTAAATACTCTTGAAGACTTTGACGAGTTTATAGTTCACGGTAAGGAGTGCCAGGCATGCATGCCTTTGTTCAACGAGACCAAAGTGGTTGGGGGGCACCGGGAGTGCTATGGGAGGGAGATCATGGAAGCTTATAGGATGACTACCACCAAGAAAAACATTGCTTCCCCATCCCTCTCAATGACAAAACCAGAACTGGTGTTTCCGAGGCCGGCGTTTTCTCGGACTCCAGTTGCACAACTTGAACAACCAGACCCGCCTTCGGCCGTCAATCCGCTTCGTATGCGGAAACGCTATCTTCCCTTCCCTCCCCCTTTTCTTCCCTCTCAACCTTGTCTCCCTTCTTTTCTCCCTCTTGCTCGTTCCCTCTTCCCCACCGACGGTTGTTGGTGCAGACTTATCTGGCGTCAAATATATGTTGTTGTAAACTGAAAGCTTGTACATGTCTGTTTTCGTCCCTCTGTTTGTTTTGTGCTTTCTTACTGTTAAATACTCTTACATTAGATATTTGACACAAATTTTAAAAAATATCAGTTGGCGAAATTTCGTGGAAGAATTCAAAGCGATTTGCAAGTGTATTGAAATACCAGTGGCTGCTAGCCAAGGATTTAGCATTTGTTTCAATTAGCAAAAAGTCTGGCTCAATAGGTATCGAATAGCTGCATTTGTATGTTAAGAAAAAACTATTTACAATGGACTGGAGTAATGACTTTCCAGTTAAATGTATAACATTTCTCAGAATTAGCAAAAAGTGCAAATAATTCTGAGCTTGAATTAATGAGAGACTGTCATGTGAGCCCCTTGACAAAGAAAAACATAATTTATGGATATACATAGAAACTGTTTTCAGTTTTTTTTCTCAGGTCTAAACCAAACTACTCTCCTTGCGAAAACATTCTGTAAAACTTCGGTTTTACAGAATGTTTTCGCAAAAGTTTGTGAAGGTCGAAGGTGCTGTGTGCTTGTGACGTGGCCTTGGCTAAGTCGGCCTTGTATCGTTTCCTGCAGACGACATAATCAAGGCCACGATGCAGGCATTGTCTGTGGACAGGAAGAAGCTCATTGGCCTCTACACCGGACACAAGGAGGTGGTGGTGAGTGTCTCTCTCTCCCTTATTCAAAGACTACCTCGCAGCCCGCGAGGGCACTATAGCAGGGGAGTTAAAGTGCCGAAAAATAAAGCGACTTCATTGGGACCGTATGCTGGCACTTGCGACAACAGGTTCTACTGTGCGGTAGTTTTAACAAAAAAAAAGAATTGGCCTACATGTTTGTCCTTGCATGGTCGTTCCGTCGTGGAACATAATACGATTCTTTTAAGTATGTCCCACTCTTAATTCTCTTTTTATTTTTGAATATGAAGAATAAATACTAATCAATTTATTTCGACGAGCAGAAAGTAGTTCAGTTCAGTTAATTTTTGTTGGTGAAAGAAGAAAAGAGGAAATACTTTCGAGGTCATCGAGAGGTATAAAGAAGCTCAGGCGATTTGGCAAAGCTTCAGGAAACTTGTCGAGAAGGTAGCCATAGTATAAAAAAAAATCACGAAAAGCAATTATTTTTTGTTGCATACTTCTTTCGGCAGACTTGGATAAGACCGGCCATTCTTAGTATTGATAGTGTATACTTTGTGAAGAAATGAAGAGTGGTATGGATGCTTTCATCTGAGCAGTTGCCTTCCTGGCCCATTGATGTAACTGATGCATCCGCTGCCTTTGCGTGGCTTTGTATCGGACAGTGCCTGCGGGGGAGAGATTGTGGAAATTGGGGGGGGGGGTTGAGGGTCTGCAAAAAGACCTGAAGTCTCTTGGCAGCATGCATGGCATAGATCTGCTTTGTTGACCTAATAATCGCCATTTTACTAGAAGCTAAGCATTTCTTCCTAAAAAAAGGTTGATGCTTGTCACTTCTTTCATAAAGAAAGTCGTCCTTAGGGTACTTGGGGGAGGTGGGGGGGGGGTGGTGGCATCCTCCTGATATGCCCCCTTGCACATTGACACGCCACCGTTGCAGGAAGAATCCCCCGTGCGGGCTTCTCGCTCGCGGCGCCACCTGCTGGCGGCCGCCGGCGCCAGTAACCTGACCAAGGGGGTGCTGGAGGTGAGGTCAGATTGCCTGCTGCTGTTCGGCGGCCGTGTGAGCGCGTCCTTCGTGCCGGCCACCCCCGCCAAGGCGCCCCGCGAGACGGTCACCTTCAACGACACCCTATCCACCAAGCCCGTCGTCAGCTGCTCGGCCACTGGTGCCAAGTGAGTGTGGCACGCCCAAACCGCGAACCGGGGTTTCTCTGACTTTTCCACCTCGACGAACCCCTCCTCTCGAGCCGAGGAAATTATCCCCAGTCCCGGCGTTGATCTAAAAGAACAGTCCAGAAGCCCGCAGACCTCGTAAAAAATGGGGAACGTACCATACTCAGTTTCGCCATAACTTGGCAAAGAGCGAATTACATGGCGGCTTCGAGCCAGTGACGGAGGTGAAGCGCATGACGGCCCTTACCCCAGGGATACAGGGGTGGGGCGTGACCCAAGCAGCTGGAAAAGTGGGGAGGGAGGAACTCCTCTCTTACCCAGACAATGTTTAGTTTGTCTCAGATGCAGCTTCTGTCCCCTTTGGAGATTAGCGGGTTGTTCAAACCTCAAACAAGGGGAGTTTATTTCTCTCCGACGCCTGTGGCTTTCACGGTGCTGTACCCAACTAGTGAGATAGGGTCGCGCATCTCCCTTGGACATGCCAATTGGCTCGTTGGGACTGTAGCTTTTCCGTTTGCCACGTTTTATTTATTTTATTCCAGGTTACTCTGCAGCATCGGAGGCATCATTGCAGGGTAGAGGGTGGCTATGGCAGCGTAAAATACAGTCGCCCGATGTTCATTTACATTGAATGGACCAGCAAAGAACAAAAGCATGTTACACAATCCACACCAATTCGCGGTACAAAGCGGTCGAGGCAACCGCTTTAAGAAACATTATATGATGGGTAATGGGCGGAGCAAGAACTAATAACCGAGAAACAGAGTCGCCAAAATCATTGCGCGCATGTTGTAAGAACGTATTGTTTGCAAACACTATTTCCTCTTATGTGGCAGCAGTCTCAACTGTCATGCATTTGTTTATCGTAGAAGAGAGCATTGGACGGGAATGGGACTGTGTTATGGGCTCATTCGTCCCACTGCATTATTGTGTAAGGGGCAAAACCATTATTTTTAGAATGTTTGTTCGGAATATAGATTCTCTCATTTTCTTTGAGTGGTCTTATCTATGAGATACGACAAGAGGCGGTTGGTTGAATTTCAACTTAACTATCCCCGGTTTGATCGTGGCACGTATATCGTGTGCAGAAACACTTCTTCTTCTAGATACCAGCGGCTCCCAATCTAGCTGCTTGTTCATATGAGTGACACTTTCCTCATGATTGTAATTCTTTTTAATGAACCTAGCCTCCTTATTTTGTACCTGCTCAAATTTTTCTACTAGATAGCGCTCGTTGGGGTCTTAAAAAACGCTGGAATTGGCCTGACGCTAGAAAAGAATAAAGCTGTTTTTACATTTGGAGGAGAGTCACCAAAGCTTTGTCTCGAGAAATTTAATGTCCAGTTGGCTTTGGCCGTGATGAAGTCCACGTGCGTGCTCCATGATAGATTTTGTGTGAAGTGAACGCCTAGGTACTTTACTGTTTCTACCTTCGTTAGTGGAACACCAAGAATCATGTGTGTGAAAGGAAATGGTTTATGCTGCGTAGTAAATGTCGCCTGGTTGCATTTGCTGATGCTTAGCTTCATTTTCCAATTATTGCACCACTTTGAAATTCGGTCAATATCTTCGTGCAAAACCAAGCGATCCGACCCAAACTTGACGTTTCTATGCAAGACGCAGTCGTCTGCTTAGAGATGAATGCTGGAGCAGGTGAGACAGAATATAGAGAGTGATTGTCTGTTCATCAATGAGGGGCTGAGATTCGCGTGCTAGGAGCTCGCTGGGCTCGGAAGCTACCTTCATTGTTTGCAATTGCAAATTGAAACTCGAGTTTTTAAGACCCTTTCTAAGATTAAAAAAAATAAAAAAAGATCCTATTTTTTTATTAAATGATGCGGTCAGGTAAGCGAGTTCCCTTGTACCGTTCAGTCGACAGAGCACTGAACTCGGACTGAACTCTTTCTCCGACATTGGTAATGCTGCAGAGTGTAACATGCATTGTTGCTTTCAAAGCAGTTCGCGTGCCACACCATTTTCGTATTACCTCTCTAACACTCAAGTAATAGCATGCTCATCTTATAAGTACCTGGGTGTTCATCTCACCTCTAACCTATCATGGACTACTCACATAACTTCTGTTATTTCTGATACTAACCGTTCTCTCTGATTCTTGCGCCGTAACCTTAAACTTGCTACACCCTCCGTAAAACGACTAGCGTATACTACTCTTATAAGATCGAAATTAGAATACGCCTCATCTATATGGTCCCCATGGCAGTCCTACCTTGCAAATAATCTAGAATCCGTCCAAAACAGAGCCCTTCGTTTTATTTATAACAACTACTCACCATATACCAGCATATCAGGATTACGCCAATCAGCTAACCTTCATTCACTTTCCCTTCGCCGCCGAGTATCACGCCTTTCTCTCCTCCATCGAATTTTCTATCACAATAGCCACCTTAAAGAATCACTGCTATCACCTCCCCATCGTATTTTCCCGCGTCTAGATAACCTATGTAAATTACGTCCAATTCGATCATCAACTGTTTTTCACCAGACTTCCACACTACCATTGGCCATCGAGGATTGGAATTCACTACCTCATAACATCGTTTGTATTAATGATACTACTAAATTTGTTGAAGCCATTACCCTCTTTTTATCTAACCTACCTAGCTAGCTTACAGTGTTATAATTGTGTTTACTGTTCTATTTGTTTTTGTTCTATTGCCACCCCCTTGTATAATGCCCCACGGGCCCTCAAGGAAAATAAATGATGATGTGCGTGAGTGTTCGCATCATTCCTGGGCGGTTCTCGTAATGTGTTATGTCGAGATCTTTTGTTTGGCAAGTTGTTTGTGTAACTTGAGTTATATTTCTATCAATCTAGAATGTAGTAAATTGCTGCTAGTATGCTGCTTTTTGCATGCATTTCACAGGAAGAATATTTTGACAAGTGAAGTAAACTAGTATGAGCACCAGAGGAGTGAGGGGGGGTGCTTCCTTGCAACTGAAAGGCTGCAGCCTGATCCACATGAAAGCCTTTTTCATTTGCCTGAGGTGCAAATATTTCAACCAATTTTGTTCCTTCTTAATCCCAATGTAAACAAAACCAACTTTGACCAGAGTCTTATTTTTCAATAAAAGCCTCCGTTTCTTTTATATTCTTTGTCTATTTCTATGTACTAATATTGCAAAAGGTAATGCTGTCTGTAATGTGATTTAATATTAAAGACTAACCCTCAGTCATCATTGAGAATGGACTAGAATGCAGAAAAGACTCCCAGTTTTACCGGTTTTAGTATCAGTAGTACACTCGAATCTCGTTAATTCTAACTCGAGGAGGACCAATAATTTGTTTGAATAATGCAGAGTTTAAATTACTGGGAGTTTCCTCCCATAGAGATGCATAGGAGGGCACCTGCATGGTAGTTGGAATTATCCGCAAGTTTGAATTAAGTGAGATTGAATTAACAAGATTCGACTGTATTGTTTTAATTTGAAGCTCGCTTAATTCAAAGCCTTTCGCTCTTGCCTTTGAGCTTTGAATTATCGAGAGTCAAATTGTAAAGGCCCATTCACACTCTTGCAACCGAGTACGACCGAGAGAGACGAGACTTGTTGAAACCTCTTCAAATTTCTTGGGACGAAAGAACACACTGGCACGCTGGCGCCATCTATGCGGTGACCCTGGAACTGCATTTCACAAGAGCGAAGGTTTTGCGGGATTTCCGAGGTCAAATGTGCGTAATACCTATAAGAAAGGCTCATTTATAACGTTGACAATAGTTTTTCGAGCCAAGAAAGATAGGATAATGCGCGAGAGAAATAGAAAATATGCCGGATCTCCAAGTTTACGCTGCTACCCAATAGATGGCGACAGTGTGTCCTCTAGTCATAAGAGGTTTTAAGGAACCCATTTTTAAGAGGTCGCAAGAGTGTAAATGGCCCTTGAGTCGACCGAGCAAGCTTTAAGGCTTTGGGTCATTTTCTAACTGCCACCCGAATTTCAATATTTCCCTCTCCTCGGTCGCCCTTCTCCTGACTCATTTTCTTTGCTAGCTTCTCTCAGGCACAATGTAGACTTGTCTGTTGAGGCTTTTGTGCCCGATTTGAAAGTAACGCCATACAGTACTCGAGGAGACGCTCCATACTTAAACTGAGTTGGGTAACTACTTCTCAACGCTGGCTTACATGGTGTCAAAGAAGGCTGTTTCTAGAATGTCAATACTGCCTTGTCTGAACACAAATAGAGCTATTTCAGCATTGGGTGCTATTCTTTGTTTCTTTAATACCATGTTTGAGTGCAAGTAATTGAGTATTCTTGCTTTTTTTTACTTTTTTTATTCCAGTGTCAGCTTTACTTTCCCTGACGTGGGATCGGTGAAAGGCTTCAAGTTGGAGTAAGTACTTCTTATTTACTGGAAGTAGAACTTGGAAAAACGGATTACCTAAGCAGCAACAGGAGCAGGGAGCCTTACCGCCGAATTCACAAATTGCACTCCAATAGACTACTTCCATAAATCCCTGCATGCAATACGGCGCGCGTTGCACTCTGGGAACTAGTTGGCCAGGGAGGAGAGTGGCATGGTTTAGGTTTCGATCGACACGTCGACAAGAGATTATTTTGGTCCCGAGAGCGGTGACGTAGGCAGAGGGGGGGGGGGGGGGGTTTGGGGGGGGTGGAACACCCCCCCCCCCCCCCCCCCCCCAAATGCAAAACCTAGTCTCCCCCCCCCCCCCCCCCCCCGGGGGGGGGGGGGGGGGGGGGGGGCCCGTTGGCTTCCCTGCACACGCAGTCGATTTTGCACGGGGCATGGAGCAAGGGGGAGCGTGGACTATCTCCAACCCATATGCTTTCGGGAAAAGTGTTTGTGGGATAGAAAATTCTCAAATAAATAAAATAGGCAATATTCCCTCGTTCATGCTTATTTAATGGGATGCAGAACTTGATCTCAGATATATAGACAACGGATATTTCGAAACACTTGTGGCGTGAAGGATGGCAATTTCAAGAACCAATATGACAAACTATGTTCACTAAAATACAGAGTTCAATCAAACCAAAGCGAACACATTATGATAATATAAAACAATGTCAGTGGTGTAATATTAAATGAATTGTAAAAACAATTGCACTGTAAACAACTGTAATTCTGATGAGTACCCAAGGTGTGCGTGAGCGCAGCGTCACAAGCTGCGCTCACGCACACCTTGGGTACTAATCAGAATTACGTGCTTTCCACTGAAATTAATAATAAAGAGTTTATTTCCATCGTATATTGATGGTCGCGAGAAAAGAAAAAAATCTGTATGGCACAGTTTGACAAGTGCTTGAGAAGTCGACGGGGGAAAAAAAAACATTCACAAATCTTGAATACCACAATTTAGCAAAGCGTGTTTCGGACATAATATATTTTATCATCGGCTATAACAGGAAAGGGAGAAAATTAATTGAATTTCTCTAAGAGACAATATACTGAATTTTTCCACCCCAGTCTCGGCATTTTGTCGAAAGTGTTAGAACGTTCACCAGCTGGTTTGCACCCTAACTTTTTGTTTGTTTTATACTGAATTTCAATTTTTTATCTTCAAGTAGGTTAAGTATTTTGGGATACTAGTATGTTTAAGCATTTGTGTGCCATAGTTCGTTCTTGCAGCGACCACCTCCCAACATTTCGCACGACAGGTAGAACACGCGTGAATATTTTCAGAGAGCTGTCTAAGGTTTATCACAATGTTTGTACACCTAATTTTCTCTAGTTTTAGACTAGTGACAAGTCTATAGCTAAATAGAGCATGTATATTGATAATGCGGGAAGTCAAATGGAATGTCCTCTATAGACCGACACGCTGTTTCCAAACAAGCCCACGCTTGCCCACACCGGGTGTGGGCACTGCGAGTGCGCACAAACCGAATTCGGGAGGAGTCAAGCATCTGCGCATGCGCAGTACCGTCAGCAGCGCCACCGCAGCTGCGTGACATCAGGGCGGCGTGTTCGTCTATAGCTCTTAACGCTTTTTTTTTTTTGCAACAAGTGCATTTTTTTTTAGTTTCGTTGACGTTGTTGTACCCCAGACTAAATTACAATAGTTTATGTGCGAGTAAAATAAAGAATTGTATATTAATACCACCTTTGCTTAACATATACCGGTGGCGGTTTGTCAAACCTACTACTTGTGACAGCTTAGAATTAAGGTAGTTGACATGACTATCCCATGACATATTCTCGGTAAAAATAACACTTAAGAGCTTGAAAGAGTTTACAATCTCTATATTGGAGAAGTTTAAAACAATATCTCTTGTAATTGGGACTAGCATATGTTTTGGGCGGAAAAGCACTGATTTTGTTTTTTCGACGTTGATTTCTAGTGAATTAATACAACTAGAAATGGCTAATGCAGATAACGCCTGATTTGCCATGTCAAATAGCACATTGACATTTTCAGCTGAAAAAAGAAAACTAGTGTTGTCGGCATAGCTGGTAATTGTTGCATCAGAGTTAATATTTACAATGTCATTAACGTAAATATTGAAAAGAAAACCTAATATACATCCCTGTGGAATACCAGTAAGAATACGCTTCGAACTTGACAAATGGCCATGAATATAAACTAGTTGCATTCAATGCTCTAGGTAAGACTTCACTAACTGCAAAGCATGCCCTCGAATCCCATATGTATCCAATTTTGCTAGTAAAATTTCATGGTTGAGGCAATCAAAAGCCTTCGAGAAGTCTATGAATGCTACAAGAACAATTTCGTTTTTCTTCAAGATTTTGCACAATGAATTCTTTCTAGGTGAGTAGGGCAGCCTCGATAGATTTATGCTTTATAAAACCAAACTGCGAAGTAGTTATTAAGTTATGCTTAGTTTAAAAATTAGTTAGACGTATATGAAGTACCTTTTCAAGTGCTTTAGAAAATACTGGCAATATAGAAATCGGTTTGTAATTACCCATATCTTTTACACTCCCCTTAGGGCCTCCGTCGTAGCTAGCCGACCTCAGCGTTTGCGAAAACTTAATCTTCTATGAGCATAAAATTTGAGTGCGAGATATGTGACGACACGAGGGAAGATATCATAGTAACTTTTTGTGTAGTAGTGAGGTCGAATTTATTGAGTTTCCTTAAAAGTTCATGCGCCGACGCTAAGCTCAACTTTGAGACTCCTGTGAGGACGCGGCTTGCTTTTCGCCCAATGAAGTAACAAGAAGCAAACGTTTGGCAAACAAAATACGTGTAGGGCTCCAGACGAACAAATTTCAGTTGTAGTTCACTGGTATTAGACGGGATTACTGACATTGAGCTCAAAGATACACTCGTGGGGTGAGGTGACAAAGCCACGTCTTACTACGTTTGCATACGCACGCACAATATGCGGTGTTTCGGGAACCAAGAAAAGTGCCCCGGTCTTCGTTTTGCATCGCTCGAGAATGAGTGTATTGTACATTCGTAAAAAGTCAGATAATCGAAAACGCAAGCAGCGCTCGGTCGCGGCGTGATAGCATGAGATGAAGCTGCTCACTCGAAACCGAAACTGAGTGGCCAACTAGTTTCCAGAGTGCACTGCATGGTATTTCGCCGCGATGGGGCATGTCGGTTTTGAAAGAAGTCTATTGAGGCGCGCCCCTCCTCTTCCTCAAGGAAGACGCGAGGGCCGGCACTAGCCAATCGCAACGACAGATAAGCAGCCTGGGCCACCTATTCATCGTCGCAATAGGCCAGTACCGGCCGTCACACCTTCCTTGAGGAAATGAAGGGGCGCCTCAATTGGAGAGAGGTTTGTGAATTCGGCGGTTAGATGTTGTGGTCGAGTTCTTAAAAGCTACTTTGAGAATGTATAGTCGGCAAAACCACGAGGAGAGACTGCCACATAGGACACTGTGCTCGTGGCCACTTGTTGATAGCGAGGCTGGATAAGCTTTCATTTCTCATCACCAGGGGGAAGAGTTAGAAAGCATCAATAAAGCTTACTCACTCTCGAGTTAATGCCCACTGCCTCATATTGTTTTGCTGCTTGTGTAACGTTGGGGGGGGAGGGGAAGGTAGAAGGCATTTCCAAAAAGTAACATCCCCCTGCTTGCTTTTTTTTTTAATGCGTCGCTAGGCGTTGCTTGTCTGTGGCATATGTCTCTTTTTGTCCCTATTTTGTGTGCATTTCTAAAGTTGCAAATTTTCAGTTTAACCCTTTCATGGCTTTTTTTTTGTGTTTTTTGTGCCCCTGTGGTTGGGTATTTTTCTCGAAGATATAGACAAAGGAAGGGTCAATGGTCAGGTTTTTTAAACTACAGTACTTCCTCGTTGTAACGAAATAGATTTTTTTCGAATTATCGATTTTATTGAAGTTCAACGCGCGATCCCGACCGAAATGCACGCATTTTGAACCGGATTATTCTAAGTAAATTGGCGGCCGACCACGCTTATCACGAAAGCTGAGGTGCCGAAAGCATGCAAGCCTACACACAGGCGCACGGAGACCCTTGCGTTCCCTCCCCTTCTTCATTGAGACAAATGGCAAACTTTGGAAAACTGCAAACAAGAAAACTGTGCAAACGGGTGACGGGGGGCCGAGCGTTGCTTCCAATGCTGATGCGCCAACGCAGCTAGGGAGCAGCGGGAGGCAGCCAAGGCAGCGTCCATGTTCCGGCGCCACTCATGTCGCCCTTGGCCAACGCTGCCCGACTCCTGTTGGAATCGGGTCAAGGGAGCGATGGAGCCCGAAGGAGGTCACTCCTTCAAGCTTAATATTTTTCATTATTTTACTTCTTCAGTATTGTTTTTACTTGGTAAGCTGCCGCGAGTTGTTTATAACCGAGGTTTGTTTGATTAAATATGCAATCAGTGTTCCGCAGTGTTCTCGTCTACCTTCAAGGCTATTGTCGATTTTTTTTTGCTCTCGCTTTAATCGAATTGTTGCTTATATCGAATTTTTTCGCTGTCCCATTGATTTTTTTTATAACGAGGGATTACTGTATCTAATGCACGGGCAAACAAAGAATGATGGCATTTCACATTGCAAAGCAGTTGAGTCTTTTAGCGACGCCCAAAGATTCCCTGAAAAAGGGATCTCGTGCTATTTGCCTTTTGCAAAATAACCTTTTTGTCAGTGCCATCTTTAGCATTGATTTGTTCATACAACTAGTTTGAGCTTGTATACTTTAGTGTGATTACAAGATTTAAAATATGACCAACCCACAAACGTGCTAGAATTTTTCAATAGAACTAGAAATTAAGCGCACAATTGTTACTTTGTCTCTTAATTCACTGGGGAATTATCAGAGCTCAATATGTCTCGAAAGAAAATCTTTTCATATGGCAGTTTTTGCTTTGCTGGTGATTTTTATAGCAGAGGTATACGAAAATACCCGTGTGTTAACGGCATGTAAGACGAAGCAATCCTCAATCTAAAAGAACAGATTAGTGCCAAATATGTTAAAATGTCGTAAGAGTACACCTACGTTTCCAGTGGAAAGGAATGGAATACAAGAGGTAATTATTTATGGTGCACGTAGTGCTTGAGGAACGGGAGGTTGCAACCACTGGACATTTGCGGGCCGCGTCCCAAAGTGTCGCGGGCCGCATGCAGGGCCGCATCTTTTGAGACCACTAGTCTAATGGGGCACGTCTAGTGCTTGCAAGCTGCCCAAGTGGAGAAGCATCGAATGTAAATATTGAGGGCTAAAAGTTGTCGCCTTTCTTCCATTCTGTTTCATTATGGCGTGTCTGCTTCCCCGACATTCTGGTGGTCTGAGACTTCGAACTCATCCACTGAAGTAAATTCTGGGAAGTGTTAAAAGTTAGAATGAGAAGAACCGTCGCTTCGATTGCCACTTCCGTCAGAGTAGCCAACTCTTGAAGGCACCACTTTGCGGTTATCACATGCACGAAACATCTAATTTTGAAACTATGAATTCTTAATTATTTTACTTGTAAATTAGCTCTTACGTATAAAAAGTCTTTCATTTACAATGATGACCTGCTCCTATCGATTTCCAACCTTTTTTGTTTAGGGAAATGGTTTATCCCTGTATGGATACTTGGTTAGTGCCGGACTCCAGAACATGTTATGGTTATCAAATGTTAAAATATACCCTTCCCAGTCTTCTAAATTCTTGTAGTGAACTGGATATAAACATTCTATGTAAAAGTGGGAAATATGTGCATTTTTCTTTTTTTCGTGATCTTTTTATTGTTTTTTCATATGCTGAAGTTGTAAATCGATTGTATAGTTTTTCTAGCTTGAGGTCCTTGCTGAGCTGCAAACTTTGTATTTTTTTGTTGCTGCTCTGGGGGGAGGCAGAGGCTTGTCAAACAATACCTTAGTTTCTTTTTTTTTTTCTGCCTTCCATCTCCAAATTGGGGAAAAATAAAGAGTGAGTTTGAGCACCAGCAATGTGAAATTTGATCTGAATACAATGTTCACAGTTCCCGAAAGATGTAACAAATAGCAGCACTTCCCAGGAAGCATGTGGTTTTATGTTTAAGTGGAAACTTTCAAACGTGCAATCGCCGCCGTACACGTACCCCAACAACTGTCGAGGAGTTCGTAGCTTTGTTTCTCGGACATAGAAACTGGACCAATCCCTCGGCTTCCGTACGACTGCTTTGCTGCACACTCCGTCAAGGTTGCGCGTATCTTTGTCGACAATACAGTCATGCAAAATGTTAGCGACTCCGCGCGGCCACACATTTTGTGATGAGGGGCACTTGCCCGTCGTTGCTTGTTCTAATAATTCAGACGAGCCCCTCCGCAATCGTCGAAGTGAGGCTCCTCGAAGGAACCCACCGGCCGCGAGAGACTACAAAGACGAGCACATCGATCGTGCGATTTGGCACCCGTCAAACACACTTGTAACGAACCCGGAAATATTAGATGCAAGAAACTGGCGTTCGTTTCACACTTCTAGTTGTGTACTTTTTATGCGACTTGAGCCCCCTTTTGACGAGGAATTTATAAATGGGGGCTAAGGATGCAGTCAAAAGTCTTTAACAAAAATAGAAAAAACGGAGAACACGCGGGGAAGCCGGTTATTTTAAACGTTTTAAGAACCCAAGATCGAAGAACAGAAAAAGAGACGTCCCCTCTTTTGTTCCTCAGACTCGGGTTTTCAAGACTTCGAGCCTTATAACGAATTTCACGAGACCCGCGACAAATTCTGTACTACAGCTCAGGTTGTTGTAGAAGTTGAGCACAAAATGGCGCGTTCAGAGTCTGGCGGCCTTCTGGTCCGTCGGAGTTGGACTAAGGGTGGCGCGTGCACGCCCCTGCCTCACAGGATGTCGTTCCAGCGTGAGGGCTCAGGCTTCCAGCTGGAGTCTCTGGCGGGCTTCCTGGCAGGCAGCAAAGCCCTGCCGCTGCAAGTGCGGGACGTCTGGTGGCCTGGCGGCTTCTCTTTTTCCTGCGCCTCCTCCTTCTTCCGCCAGTTCAACGCCAGCATGCCGCCCCAGCTGCAGGTCACCCTGGACACCTTCCAGGTGGGGACGACCAGACCCTAAACCGCTCTCTTTCACGCGTGGCGGCTGGAATGGGATACGGGGAACAAATGCAGACTTTGCGTTATCGATCCTGTTCCCGGAATTTGCGAAAGCTCCTTTAATAAGGTACGCCTTGTGAAGTTTCTTCCGTGCCGTCGGACAATATGAGAGTCCTCCCGTTTCGCACTTCGGCGTCTGCACCACGCCGAAGATGTTACACCGCGTGACCATTGCGGAAAACTTTTGACTATCTCGCACATTTTATGGCACCATACGTCTTGTCATCTGCTTCATTGGTCGTATGTTCTAGTTTAGAGGTCATCTTCCATTTCACGCCACGTTTTTGCTTGTTGATGACCCTTTAGTTCTGCTCGGCCAGATTTTAGCTTTTATCAAACAAACCAAATAGTTACACCGGTTATATCTTTTTATCTTCGGATTAATTTTCCGTTTGGTATGCTTCTTCACTTACCTGGCAACCTCAATTGCGTCGTCCCTTCTCTCCCCGCAACGCCTCAACCGCACCCGTGCGCAGGTCGAGCTGTCCCAGAATGCCACGGCCCGCTTCTCCGAAAGCTACGACTGCGCGTCCTTCTTCACCACGGTGGTCTGGATGGGCTTCCTGGTGGTGCTGCTGTACCTGTTCATCCTGGCCGTGGGCATCTTCTTCCTCTACGACATCCGCACCAACGACCGCTTCGACGACCCCAAGGAAAAGACCATCACCGTGTCTGCCACCGACTGAGGCGCCACCACCGCTTGTCTTGCCCCTTCGTAGGAACTACTGGGAGGTCGGTCGCCGTCGTTAGGAACCAAAGGACACCACGAGTCGTGGAACCAATTTCTGTGTGCAAACTGCCGCCGGGCTAGTCCCGGAACTTTTTATGTGCCGTTGGGAGTGCGTCGGCACGGAACGAAATGCAAACGCCGGAATGCATGGCCTTCGATTGGCGCTGCGCTGCCTAGGGGCCAATGGAGCTGCAGAGGGGAGAGAGGGCTGCAAGGGTGTGCGCTCATTCCGACGTGCACACCCTCACAGCCTCCTCTCCTGCGGAATCTGGGTAGCGTAGAGCATGTCGAAAGCCTCGCGTTCTGGCACGAGTTTCATTTCATTTCGTGCCGATAGTACGTGCGACGACGGCTTTTTCCTCATTTTAGAAGGGTGGATTAGTAATATGAGTCTGTAAAGTCTTTTTTTTTTTTTTTTAGGAGAGAGTGGAGCGGGAACGAGAAGGTCGTTAGTAAATGGGAGCCGCTCTTTGTAAATATAGATGCTCCGTCGAACCCATTTTAGAGGCACTTAGTGAAACATAAGCCAATTTTCTTCGCCTTTCAGTTTTTGTGGGACGTACGTGTGGCTTTGGGATGTTGCATAGACTTCTCATTGGTCTTTCATTGAGCGGTTAATGCTGAGGCTAGTTCAGAGTTTCATATTGTTTTGCTCGCAAGGGCTAGTAACGATTTTGTTGCCTTGTGCAGACTATTTACCTCACCTCCCCAATTTCTGTGTATATATATATGCGAGCCAGTCATTAGTGATACACGAAGCTCACTTCTGTTGTTTATAGCATAATTTATTGGAGTAGTTCTTGCAGGCAGTGCTTACGATCGTGCGACATTCAGTTAGCATTGCTCAGACTGTTGCAGCCGTATTTTAAGCGATTGTACCAGTGCAGAGGACTGGCAAGATTACAGAAGCTGCACCTTTTGGTAAGCATGGGACTGGGCAGTCAAGGTTGTAAAAGTTTCTATTGTGAGGGAAGTAAATATCCAAGGAGCATGCTGTGCAACAAGTGTGCATGCCCTAGTCAGGCAGAGCCCACACCATTATATACGGGCTATAAACCGTAATCTTTTGGGTCATGACTGCCGCACCAATGAAGCTGCAGAGCATTCCATGTTGTAGTCTGGTGGGTGTTCCTCGTGGTTTGTTGTTTCTTTGTATTAATTTGCGCATTAAAACTGCTGTGAACAAAGGCCATTGAAGCAGCTGTTTCTTTTCCTTTTACTTGTAACTGCTCTCATTGTAACTAGTACTAATATGGTAGAAGATAATGGACCTTTTGGTGAATATGTGCTGCCACTTAGACACGCGACTGGGTTCGAGACCAAACGGCTAAAAGAAAACGTGTGCGCAAGGCGCCTCCCACCCGTTCAACACCCAAAGTGTCAGCCGTATCCTGCTCATCCATTGAGGTGCTGTGACCTAGATATGGCTCCCCCAAACTCACCTTTGTCCCCATCGTGCGTAATCTGCTGCCCCGAAGTCGACACAAAGAAACAATCTTTCCTCTCTGCTCGGTCAGAAGGAAGAGAGAGAGAGGGTACTAGAACCATTTACTCTCGAACCGCTATTTCTACAAATTGTCAATCCTCCAAATTACCACTACAAGGATTTGTAGCACGAGCTGGCATGTCCACGCAATACGATCAAATGCTGGTGCTTCCTTCCAGAGAGCTGTTCTCGCTGAACGACTGCTCTGGACAAGTTCTATTGACTTACCAAGTAACGCTGAAGTGTTGCATCATGGGATGCACTTAAGCCAGGAATGTCTGTTGCCATAAATGGTGGTGCATCGCCGGCAGACGAATGGGAGCGTGTGCTTGCACCAAGAGAGCATGTGGGATGTGCCCTGCGCACACCTCCGCAATACTTGCTCATGAATGCACTCGCTTACCCTCACCGACCAGGTGTGAGGTGAGGGTGAGTTTGTAAGCCTCGAAAACTAGCGAGTTTGAGGTTGAGTGAGGGGCACGAGTTTGAGGTCGGTGAGTGCACAAGTTCGGTGAGGGACGCGAGTTCTATGATTTCATGAGGTCGGTGATTGCATGAATTTGGTGAGGGACGAGAGTTCATGACACTGGTGAGTGCATGATTTTGACTAGGCATAAGATCCTTAAGGTGCCTTATGCCTAGCCAAATTCGTGCACTCACCGACCTAAGTGATTCTAGAGTATTTGATATACATGCATGCACGTCTTTTGCATGGAAGCAACCTTCCCCGCTCGAAGAAATTAAGCGCCCCAACTTTTGGTATCTAACAAAACAAATCTTGAAGAATTGAAGACCGCGGAGCTTTCCGCGGAGAGGTACCCTGGTCTTCGAGGCGTGTTCTCGTAGGGTCTAGCTGCGTAATGCAGTCAAGAAGTCTACGCTTCAACTCTGGATCCATCGCAAAAGACGCAGACTACCACGCTACCACCACCAGCACAAAAACCCAAGAGCACAGCACACGCCAAAGTTGAGCGGAAGTCGCAAGATAGGTTTTTCAGCCGAACAGCCAAACCAATCGAAGCGGCGTACCTCTCCTTGCCTCCATGCGGAGCGCACAGGCATGAGGGAAAAGTGGGAAGGAGGACCCTTGCCCCTTGCTTGACAAAAAATTGTCTTGCGCCATAACTATATCTAAAAAAAAATTTATTTTTTTTCGTTGTAAATTTACTTTATTACAAACTTTCTTTCATCCAAACTGTTTGAAAAAAAATTTTTTTTTTGCCCTTTGCACGTGTTAAGTGCGCTTCTCACCGTGTGCGAGTCTACTGCGAGGAAGCCACATGCTCAGAGTCGAGTAGAACCAGAACGGAATTATTCTCAACAGCGCAGCCTGTGCTAAGTGCGAAAGCACATATCAAGAGCTTTCTGAATTGTGTGTACAATTCTATCCATCGGTAAAATTTTCAAAATGTATCGGTGGTTAGTACAAGGGCGATTCAAATGAAAACCTTAAAATTGCCCCAACGTTTTGAAATATGGTGCCATTGTCCTGCAAGTTGGCAGCCTTGTGTAGGTAACCAGTGTGTGTATAGTCGGTGACAGGTCAAAAACGAATTGGAAGCTCCTCCCACCCTTTCCCACTTCAGCAGAGTGAATGCTGGAGAGAAAACGACCTCTCCAGCGTTCACTCTACTAAAGTGGAAAGAGGTGGTAGGAGCTTCCACTTCATTCTTGACCTGTCACCGACTATAGACAACCAGCATGATGCCACAGTAGCAGTGTAAAGATGGCCGCTCTGCTTGAGTAAACACCGAAGGGGTGCAGCATTCTGTCGTTCGCTTTTTAGGTAGTAAAAACTTAAAATGTATCGTTGAATGAAGTTGCAGTATGGTGATGCTTGTCTGTCACTAGAGCAAGTGTGTGAATAAACTAGGCAGGGCTGGGCAGTATCACAATACAAATGTGTCGCGATAGTATCTTAGAGATACTTTAGATCATATGTATCTGTATCGAGATACATTTCAAAAATGTATTTGCATCTCAGTAGTGAAATACATTTATGATCTATCGCGATACTTTGCCAGTCTTGGGTATCTCGTTACATTTGTTGCCATTTTTAAGATAAATTTAAAGATAAAAATATATGTTTGGTCATAACCAGTATATACTGACAAAGCCTGGCAGATCGCCATGATAAGCGGCTGCCGAAATGGAAAAGGTGGAGCGGCAGACAACGGATGAGAAGAGAGCCACATGACTGGCACCCCGCTGTGGCGAGACGCCGAAACACACTTCTCCCGAGCGAACAAGTGTGTTTCGGGTCCTTGCCGCTGCGAAAGCTGTGCGCCAACATACAGGTTCCCTGAGAAATGGTTCTTTGATGCTATGTGCTACCAGATCCTTGCACTCCAAAGCTGCGACTGGGTACACTATGGCTTCGCTGTCGAACTGCCAGGCTTCACGAGTATAGAGGAGGCTATGGTTTGGTGCAGGTTGCTTCGGAAGTTATAATATGAACCCGACCATAACATAATCCATCTCGGTCACCAATATTTAAAAAGAAACTGTGGTTTCAAAAAGGTTACTTAAAAGAATAAAAAAATCAGCTCCTGTCTTTAAGCTCTTTTCAATTTAGCAGAGTGAACGCAGTGAAGGAGTTGAGTGGAGAAAAAGTATGGCCCTGCTGTCCAATCTCCCCACACTACGAGTGACTCGGAAACATCTAAGATGACAGTTTGAGATGCGCACTCACAGCAAAAGAGGGTTCATTTCGGGCAGACGCCTTTTGTCAAGCATGTTAAGCAGTTTTTACTGTTCTGTAACTATGTGGTTCAATGGGGGTGACATCTCTTTTTTAGCGGCATTAATGATAAATAAAGAGTTAAGGGGAACAGCATAAAATGGCACAAAAGGAGGACCACAAGCATAAATTACCATTCGCGTTTGCCACGAACTATACCCTCCCCAGCTAGCACCGTTCCGGAACAAATGTATTTCTAGAAGTATCTGTCTGTATTCCGGAATACTTTTACGCCCTTTCTGCAGAAGCATCTCGGGGATATCCTGTTGCATAAAAGACGAATGTATCTCAATATCTGTATTTTGGGCCTTAAAGTACATGTATCTCAGTATTTGTGTTCCCAAATACTTTTTGGAGTATCTCTGCTCAGCTCTGGAAGTAGGAAGTTCGAAAACGGCACGAGTTTTGTGACAGACTCCCTCGATTGAGTCAGGCATACCAAGTGACGATGCCAGAGTCCATTGCAACAGTTAAAGGAATCATAATGGAAAATCGCAGATTGGCAATGGTTGAAATAGGCGCTCTCGTCAGCAACGGTTGTGGTTCTTGCCCTAAGTGATTACCACATTTTAACGTGAAACCTTCTTTGCTAGGGTTCAGCATTTCATGAAGCCGGAAATTGAAGCCTGGATAAAAGCATGACTGCGAGGCTCGACACCGATTGGTCGATGGTTGGGAGAGGAGTGAGGTGATCGATGCTGATTCGTTTAACGGGCAAGTCATGTGATCAGGGGTGGAGGTAGGCGAGTTGGGGAGAGTAGAAGTGAATTAGAAAGTTTTCGAAGGTCACCAGGTTTATCATTTCAAGTCTGTACATGCCACACGTTAAATTGTCGGATGAGGAGTGCCATGAACGTAGGCGTCTGGCTGAACAGGCTAGACGTGCTGCTAAACTATGTTATAAGTGTTTGTGATGCTAGAATGCCTCACGTATGCAGCACAATTGCCTAGCAATTTGCCATACATTTTTTGGACCACTCAAGAAGGTAGTGGGAAGGAAGTTCCAGTCTGTAGCGGTGCAACAGCCTGCAAAAGGAGCTTTGCATGTGACCAAAAGATTTTGTTTCTGCTGGAATTCACACACTTGTACCTGGATTGAGCAGGATGGAAACTATGGTGACAAATAATGCAAATGTGTACCACTCGTGTTTAGCCAATTTTGAGCAAACACAAAAGTATTTTGTAAAAGTTTTTATTTGACTCATATTTTGTTTAAATTCCAAATTTATGAAGCAGTTTGGTATAATGAGGCTTTCTAAATAACCCTAATGTCTATCTGGGCTAAAATATAAGGCCAATCTGAGTTAAATCTCTCATTTAGTTATCAACTTTAAATAGGTCTTCAACTGCTTGAGGTCACAGTCTATAAACTTTCAATTCAAATGAAGCTTGACAATGTAGAGCGCAAGTTTGTGTGCTTCTTGCACAGGGGTTTCATTGATTTCAGAATGCCGAGCTCTTATTGGCCGATTAAAAAAAATAGTGGGTAGACTGCAAGACATCTAGCTTTGAGGTCTACGCACTATCCTTTCAATCAAAGCCAATCGGAGCTCGGCGTCGTTCAGACGTCACCGCAACTCCTGCGCAGGAAGCAGACGACTCGCTCTCCGCATAGCATGAATCGGAGCCGTATATTGGGAGAGTTTGGCCAGTTTACGATCTCGCTGCCCCATAACAGCCTCCCCCCCCCTTCCGAGTAAGAGTGGTGCGAATGCATGCACGTGAACTCCCCGCTGCTCCCAGCTGTGCGGAGACTGCCCCCATTTTCGTTCATTTGCTTGGTGGAATGCATGAGATCGACACCCAAATTTAGCTTCTTATGAAGTTTTCTCTATATTTGACCGCAAACTTTTATTCAGGCGAAAAAGAAGTCGGCCTGCAGGAGATGACGCATAGCCTTAACAGTGCCCTGCGCCGAGATCGTGTTGCATCAAAATGGCGGTCGTTTCCTTTACTCCCTTTTTCGGCGCTGTCCCCTTTCCTTCACTTTTCTCCTCTCCAGCACCTTCGTCACCACGCCTCCTGGCCAGATCCTTCCAATATACGGCTCCAACACGAAGGAGTTTAGCTGAAGGTTTTCGACAGCATATTTAGTGAGCTACATGCAGATATCGGATCAACACAAAACTCTAATAAAGTAAATTTTCATGTATGTGCATAATTAAATTAAGCTTTAGTTTTCAAGAGAATTAAGAATTGCAGTTTTGTTGCAACCTTTTTCATCCTTAAAATGATACAACATTATTTTGATTCCACCTTCCATACTATATATATATAAAACAGCCATTCATGAATCGGCATATAGTAAAAAAAAAACCTGCTATGTTTGGGAAGAGTACAAAATAATTGTCAACAATAAAGGCTCGTTCACACTCTTGCAACCGAGTATGACCGAGAGAGACAAGACCGGTTTTTAATCCCCTTACAACTTCTTAGAACCGGGCGCGCTGCTGCGGAGCTGGTCCTAAGACGTCGTAAAAGGATTAAAAACTAGTCTTGTCTCTCTCGGTCGTACTCGGTTGCAAGAGTGTGAACGAGCCTTAAAGGGGCACTGACACATCAAAATCATATTTTTTTTTATTATCCGAAACGATTGAAAACGATGCCGGGACATTACCCTCAAAATTTGAGATTTGGGAATTCAGTATTCGTGAAGTAAAAAAACAATTTCCAAATGCCGAATTCGAAGTTCCCGCGCGATCGGCGCCGGTGCCTTGACGTCAAAAATCGCGGAGACCTGAGAGTCCCCTTTCCTGTCACCACTCCCTGCTGTTGCCATGGCGACCCAAAGCGAGGAGGAAAGGAGCGAGCGCCGGCTAGCGCCGGCGTTGCGGCGGACCGGTTTTGAGCGGTGTCGCCTGTTTTCCATTGGAGGATACAAATCCAGGAGACGGCACCACAACGAACTCCCGATTTTTGGTATTTCAAAAAGAAGGGCCGTAGTGCGTTCGCAATTGCATTAAAAAACATGTTTTAGGATTGCCGTAATTAAATGTTATAGAGATGTCGCCTACAAAGCTTCTAAATTTCCTGATTTTTGACGTCACCGATCAAAAGAAGCGAGGAGGCGAGACGCGGGAAAATCAAACGGCAAAAATAAAAAGGCGCGCGCGCGCGCGGGAAAATTTTTTTTCGCGATGCGGTTTTTTTTGCGTGTCTATGACTGCAACTTGCATCGTTTTAGACAATAAAAATAAATACGACCTTTGGGGTGTCAGTGCCCCTTTAAGAGAAATGGGGCTGAAACTGAATTGTAGCTCAGACTATAAACTGCACATGCTGGTAATTAATTATACCAATGTATAGTTCCTACTGCAATTTTAAGTCCAAAAATTTGAATTTATAGAAATTCCAATTAGGTTTCACAATATTAAAAAGTGGCCGAGAATTTTGCTGCAAATTTTGTTTCATTTTGTGCTTTAAGAGAAGGAATTTGTACCACCAATACTTTTTCAAACACTTGAAAACAAAGATTTTTAAAAAGCTCTCATCCACTGTATTATAATACCGAGTATGCAGTGCAAGCTTATCACCCCCTTTATAATAAAATTGGAGAAAGGTCAGAAACGTGCCAATATTTACATGTTATCTAAATAACCTACGACTTTATTAGCTTGCCCCAGAATCCCCAAGAACACTGGGAAGTCAACAAAGCTACTTTTGAGTATTGTATTTTTATATTTATTTTAATAGATTACAAACCATTTCGTAGCCATTCAAGATGACCGTCGTGGTATCCGAGCCTTGGGCAACACATTGACACGTCGGCACATCATTTGAAGCCCAAGAACCTACCTCAGTCATGTATATGTAGATGCGAATTCTGAACTGGTGGAATCAAGTCGAGAAACGTAGGCTCGCTAGCCACAAGAATGCATCTGTTGCGCTCCCAAACAAGATGTGCAATCCACTATGCGTCGCACAGGGCAGGAAAAACCCAAATTCACCAGCTTGGCCAAAAAAGCCGACAAGAACTCGTATAAGATGCTTTATTTTAAAAAAAAAAGGCCACTAATACGCATTCACAAATGCTATTTGCAAGCGTCCATTTGCTGCCCTGGTTCTCTCCCGCCGATGCGCCTCGTAAATGCGACCCCGTCGAGCGGCCGACGAGAGCAGACGCAGTCTTTGTAAAGCGCGTCTAGATCGAGTCGAGCTCAGACTACTCGTATACGGACTCGTATAGAAAACGTGGGAATCGATAATAAAAAATAGAATCTGCCTTCTAAAAACCTAAGATACCGGTTAAGCGCGCCCGGCCAAACTCGCCGGGCAGGACGCACTTGTCCCCGGACGAGTCCGAAGCGGCTTCGCTTGTAAATCCGGACCGCGAAGTTTGCCAACGAACGCGCCCAAAGTTCTGCGTCGGTGCCGTAAGACTGACGCCGCTTAAACGGCGCGTGCGTAAAGTAAGGCGCTGCGAAATGGCGCCGTCTCACGCGCAATAACTAGATTCATTCGCTTTGAACGCCGGTTCCCCGTCCGTCGTGCCTCGTCGCAAGCCAGGTGGCACGGACGGAGCGCGGGCGCCCAACGATTTGCGCGTGGTCGCTGGAGGCTCTTGCGGAGCGAGGGCTCTTGGAGCTCGGGCGTAGACTCGCGGCCTCCCTCCGGGGGAAGGGGGAGACCTTCTCCCGCGAGTATCCGCGGGAGGGGTGCGGTCTCGGGAGGTGGTCAGTTGGGGCGTGGCGGCGCCTGCTGCCTCCGCTTGCTAAGCAGCCGGTTGTTGGTGTCTGCCAGCTTCTTGAGCTGCACCGTGTCGTAGTCCACCCGCATGGTGGCCAGGGCCTGCGTCATTTCCTCCTGGGCGAGACGAGCACCCGTACACTTTTTACTGCTCCTTCCTGACATTCTCTGGCATTCTCTGACATCCTTCTCTGGCATTTCGAAAGGGCGTTCTAAATGCGCGGCACTCGGAACGCCCCGCCTTTTGCAAGCACTCGAGGGCACGTTGCTAGAACCTTGTAAAGATACCCGATTAGAATGAACCCACGTACAGCGAAATATTGTCGATATCGAACTCACAAACAATTTAAATAAAGATGCATGTAAAAAGTACTTTTTATAACAAACAACACATTGACTATATCAAACTTTTTCACCTGGGAAGGCTTGTAAAAACGCACCAACAATCGTCTTCCCTCCCCCTCCCCCCCTCCCCCCCAAAAAAAAAGTATGAGAGAAAGAAAATTCTAAAAGCTCAAGCTGCGAACTAAATTGAGCGAAGAGAAGCAATTCAGAAGAGAAAAAAATTTAAAAAACACTGCACGCACACAAAAAGAAAATCTTTTCATCTCAAAAAGGTTGCTTACGAAAAGATGCGATTCAGAAGGGCGGATAAGCTAAAACAACAAAATCTGCACACATGCAAAAAAAGAAAAAAAAAATAATTCCAGCTTTGCTATATCGAACTACTTGCTATATCGAACTGATTGTGGTGTTTCCTGCTGTTCGTTATGAACGGGTTTGACTGTAACTGTAATAGTGTTGCGCGAATGCTGCAAACGACTTTATTCTTGCGAGCCCTATATTTTGCGAATTTGGCAAAGTGTGGATTTCAGGAATATTTCGCGGGCACAAAGCTTTTGGCAAACGAGGGTGGGTCGTCGTGTATTTGTTACCGTAGGAAAACATACTGAGGGATCTATTTTTCACAATATTATTAGAGTCGCAAAAATCAAGAAATTTGCGATTTCACAAAATTTATGTTGTTTACGATATTTGAATTTCCGAATAGTTTTGAATAACACGCGATTCAATATTCCCTTTGAGACAAACCATAATATTTGTATGATTGTGGCGAGCGATCCCCGTCGAGTGCGCTCCTCACCGAGCGCCCGTGCACTGCGGGGAAGACATAGCCGCGGAGCTCGCGGGTTTCGCGGTTATTGCTTCTCTGCAGTGCACCGACGCTCGGTGAGAAGCCCACTCGACAGGGCTAACCCGCTGCAATGATGCAAAAGTACATGTAAAGGCACGGCCACACTAGCGGCAAGCATGCTGCAACGTCGCGCCGGTGCGCCGTTGCAGCATCTTGCAGCGAGAAGACCACACTGTACACTGTTTCGCCGTTGCAGACAGTAGTGACATGACACCACTTATGAACATGCACTCCTTCAGCCTGCTCGAGATTGTGTGTCATCTATCAAACATACTCTAAATATTTTTTTTTCCTATTTTTGGCACGTTTTATTTACCATACTTTGGTGTCTGCTCTTCGTTAGGCTGTTTTATTTTGCCTCTCCATCTACTTGCGTCGAAATGCGGTACTATTTTCTGCATCCGTTTCCCAACCCTTAGAGGGCAATAATGATGATCTGGTGACAACCTTAGAACGATCACCTTACTCCGCTTTTTGATTCTGCGAAGTCGCCAATAACAAATGGCGAGGCGATGCAGGTTCCGGGTTTGGCCAATCGGGTGGAATAGGAACATCGAGTTGCGCCACATTAACGTGGGGCTTGTGTGTTTGGCTTGGTTTGCACTTACAATAAAACTGAGTATGACCTGCACGCTCACGGTGAGCGATGCCACAGCAAATGCACTTTGGAAACGCAAGATGCACCAGAAAACTGCCGATGTCGGGCAGACGCTATGAGCCACGTCAAAGCTAAACCGGCGCTGAAAGCACGCAACTTTTCGGTGTGGCCTAGCGATTCGCAAAGTGCGAGGTCACCGGCACGGTTTTGGCACTGGATTGGCTGGGATAGCCCGTGGCGGCAGCCGCGGCCACTCCAGCTTTAAAAGTAAAAGCGCAGATCGTGTTGCTATGGCATCGCTACGTCATACATCCGTCGCCTCTCATTGGTCTAAATATTTTGTGCAGCACGGTAGGCAGAAACTACGCACAGATCATACCCCTGACAGCGAAGAAATCTTGCAGTCCTGCAACAACACCAATATCGGCAAGCGGTGCGAATCACCGTTTTGCCAGTGTGGCTGTTCTCGGGGATGCAGAAAACAGCCACGCCAATTCGCTTTCCTTTTGAATGTGCCGCGGGCGAAGTGCCGAGTGTTGCCGTGGAATCACCATCATCGCAAGTACAGTGAAACCCGTTTAGAACGAACCCACGTACAGCGAATTATTGTCGGTATCGAACTCAGGAAAATTTAAATAAAAATGCATGTAAAAAGTACTTTTTATAACAAACAAAATATTGGCTATATCGAACTTTTCCCCTCGGGGAACCAAAAAAAGTAGGAAAGAAAGAAAATTCCAAAAGCTCAAGCTGCGAACAAAAATTTAAAAAAAGCAATTGCAAAAAGGCACACACACAAAAAAAAAAATTCAGCGCAGAGCGGTTGCTTATAAAGAGAAGCAATTCAGAAAAGGAGATAAGCTAAAAAAAAACTGGATGCATGCACAAAAAACAAACAACAAAGTTTCTAGCGCGTTGTTACAAGGCGGAAGCAAAAGGAAGAGAAAGAAAGAAAAGCTCTTGCCTCCTCGCCCTTCGTGCCCTGTTGTCCTAAAGTCACTTTAGTCTGACCAAAGGCAAAAAGAAACACCGACCCCCTCTTCACCTTGCGCGCTCACTTGGGGCTTGACACACCACGCCTCAAGAAGCTATAAGCCTATCGCATTTTAGATTCAAGAGCAACGTGTTCAATAGCACCCGTGTATAACGAACTCATTGTGGGAGTTCGTTGCAAATGGTTTTTGCTATATCGAACCACTTGCTATATCGAACTAATTGTAGCGTTTCCTGCCGTTCGTTATAAACGTGTTTGACTGTACAGGCACCGCGTGTGATTGGCCCCATTTTGTTGTGTGTCGCGGCAGAGATTGTGCAACAACCGGTCGGCCAGCCGGTAAAGAAATCTTGCTGTTCTCCGGCAAAACCAGGCTCGTATGGCAGCCGGTGTCGGGCAAACGGCGTGCGGCAAGCTGCCATTCTGCAAGTATGGTCGTGCCTTTACGCGAGCAATGTCTCGAACAACCCGCTTTCATCATTTGTGCTTTTTTTTTTTTGTCAGGTTCGAAATTGCAAAAAAAAAATTGCATATAGCAAGTAGATTTATAAATCCCCTCGATTGGGATAGTTGCGACAAATATGTCGTTTACATGCAACAAAATACGGTTATATTAAAATTATCCAAAACTTAGAAGTGGAAAAGTGGAAGGCTGGGAACAACCTTCACGAGTTCAGCTGAATTTTCGTTTAAGCATGGTGCACGGTAGTGAAAGGCTCAGAGAAACTATTCGATATTCGATCCGAAAATATTTGGCCAAAACCACTATTCAATACAAACTCAAAATCCACCATTTGCAAACGCCTAAACTGGGGCACACGGTGTGGGGCTCACCGATGCTGCAAATGCCGAAGCGAATCTCCTGCGTGGAAATCAGGGCCTTACGCTTCGCGGTACGCTGTCTGTCTTTGTATTCCAGTTTGCTATGCCTAGCACCAGAATGTGAGGTTAAGGAAAGTGTGCGGGCATTTTTCTTAGAAAAACTCTCAGTGCGCAGTTTACGCAGCAATTCCAGAAACCGTTGGGTAGTCCAGAACAAGAAAGGATTGGCGCCGAAGCTCCCGTGAGCTATGGTTTAAGATAAAGTCAACTTCTATTGAGGTAGCCACCCTCGTGACCACCAGAACCGGTCACCAAGAGAGTGCGCAACACCAAATTTAGGTGTTGCGCACCTAAATTTAGGTGTGCAGGTGTAGGTATGACCCCAACTTTGGTCAGAAAGTGGCAGTCGGATGGACGGCCCACACTATAGTCAGTTACAGCTTAAGAAAAGTTTTGTAGGGAAAGGAAGGCTGGGATGGAGGAAGCAAACGGAATGCTGGAGAGGAGAAAGGAACTTCCTTCTCTCTCCAGCGTTCCGTCTGCTTCCTCCTCTCAGCCATCCTTTCTCTCGCAAACTTTTCTTAACCTGATACTGACTATTGTGTGGTTTGGCTGCAAGCGGGGCGAGTACAAGGCAACCTTTGAGTCCCGTTCTCGTGGGGCTAAAAGCAAAAAAAACAAGCCGCAGAGAAAAGTGCCATTGACTCACCTGAACCTCCGGCCACTGGTCACAATCTTCCCTGAGAACTCGAAGAGAGTAGAGGGGCGTCTGAGGTACCTCCGTGTATTTCTGTAACGCCCAGCAGATACCAATGAAGCAACTGGTTTTTAAACATAGATTAAAAAAAAATAAAAGTTAAAAGCAGTTAAGCGACAAAGCAATGTTCCGTAGGTTTGGTTCAGAGTCCTCGAGGTTTCGAAACAAAGAAAAGACTCGAGACATTTGTTGTATCGGGAGTTCTCAAACTTCTTGATCTCAAGGAATGCGTATCACTTCAAGTGGCGGCCAACGAACCCCGGCTCCCTTTCACATTGTTACATTTAGAGAAACTACAAAGGCAATTTAAAAATTTTTAAAAGAAGGAGTTTTTGGAAGCATTAGGGTCGTAGCATACCACTTAATTTTTGCTAGAACTCTGCGACTCATAGTGCCTGCAAGCAAATTTGCTAAGCCAAAACAAATATTGGGATTTCTCGTTTTTTTTCTTAACTCTGTAAAGGGAAGTGACGTCGATGAGCACTATTGATTTTCAGTAGGATTTAGTTGATGCTCAGTGCGGTTCCCACGGTTGGCTGAAGTTAAAAGTGCCACTAAAAAGAAAAAAAAAAATATTTTTTTTTTAAACAGTTTGGTTGGCACACGCCTATCAAAAAATAAAATTTTATGCGAAAAAAAAAAATTATAGATCAATATTGACGGCCTGACACGCAATTTAGTCGATAGCCACCTCCTTTCCACTTGTTTTCAAACTCGGGATTTCAGGCACGTGGAGGAGAGAAGCTGTGGCAATGAGAAGCTGCGTCCATCACGCTGAGGTGGAGAGAGTGTATGACCATTTCGTGAAGTCATGAACTTTGCGCACATAATTCAGACGCAATTAAAATAAATCTCGCGCCGCCAATATTGCCATAAAAAAAACATTTTTGCGTAAATTTTATTTTTTGGCACGCGTGTCCCAACCAGTTTCTTAAAAAAAAATCTTTTTTTCTATTCAGTTGCCTTTTAAAGTTTTGTTTTTTTTATTGTTTTTCTTTTCATTTGGGGGTATTTCTTGGGAGGGGGGATATTTATTTTTCTTCAAAGATTCAGATTTTTTGTATAAATTGGTGAACTTATAACTAATTTGCACAAAAAACACATAATCTGTGTAAAAACATAAAAATTCACCCCTAAAAATATAACCCCAAAATCCCCCCCCCCCCCCCCCCCCCCCCCAAAACATTGGAAAACTTGCAATTTTAGCTATAGTGCATGGCAGCCTGCCAAGAAGTGGCCATCTTAGTCGTTGTCGGACTGATCAGCCTGAATGAAATGGACGACAATGCCACACTCGCAGACGAGTTTGACCACCCATTCGGCGACCTCACGCAGACGGCACGGGAGATGCTTCTTCGGACATGGAACTCTGAATGTGTGGTTCACGAGGGCGCCCCAAACATGCCGCCAATCTAGTCCTCAGTCACTACCTTGGAGCAACTCTCTGCCCGACTCGCCGACGCCACCGCAACGCCGAGAACGCATCATTCATTTGAACCAATCGCCTGACGAGGAGCCTGTTCTCGTCGTGCTAAGATGTCGTGCGGAGCACTTTAGTCTACGTTTCCGCCGCTGTCTCAGGCGGTCTCGGGTGTTGTTCCCTGTACGCTTATTACCCCAACTATTTAGCAAATTGGTGCGGCACCCAAACGTCCGTTCGCACCACACCTTGGTCGACGGTCACGTGCCGTTTTGTATAGTTGAGACACAACCACCGAAGATAATTGAAGCCAGGGTCATCAAAGGCACACACTCAATATTAAAAATAGACAAAAAATATGATACTAATTTTTTGTGGCTTCTAAAAGACAGCAAATACGTTGACTAAAAAAAAAAAAAGTTGCACAGCCACGTGACTTTTGGCAACTTTCTCCTGCTCTATATTTCTTCTTCCTCCCCAGTCCAGTTTCAGTTTCAAGCAGTTGTGACTTTAGACTTTATTAAAATATATGTGGGGCTGCAACAAAATATTGATTGGGTATTCTTCTGACACCATAACTTGCCTGGCAAAAAATTACAACAAACATTTGGGGGGTGTCAGTATCCCTTTAAATTTAAACCACGCATATTTCATCGCTTCTATCTACTGTTTGAAGGGCGAACAAGCGCAGCATACAGATAAGCCGCCAAACCGCCCGAGCCAAGCCAGGCACGGAGGCAGGTGCACGCATCGTCGTGGAATAAACTGCCGCATTCGCGTCGGCACATTTGAGCCAAAATAAAGGACCCTTATCTCGCGAATATTCCATAAAAAAAATGTGCGGTAAGAGCGTGCTTCCAATGAAAAGTTTGCATAACTTTTATCGTTTCCCTAGTTTGTATCCCAGTCGTGCTCGTCGTGCACGCGAGCAGTCACTACGACACGGCAAGCGAGCAAGACCAAAGTTGTCGGACGCCGAGATGTTGGCTGGGAATGTGGGCTCACCGCAATCCACTTGTTGGCGAGCACCTCCTCGATGTTGAGCCTCTGAGACGGGTCTGTCCGCAACAGCCCCCGGATCAGGTCCTTAGCTGCGGCAAGAAGAGATGCGGCTCGGTCAAGAGTCGTCCCCGGAATACGCTCCGAAACAAGGGCCAGCTCAAAAGGCAATGCTGCAACGACCTCCCGGACAGAAAGCCGGTGTCGGCAGAGGACGGCAGCAATATGCTTGGAGTAGAATGGCCTCGACTTTAAAGGCCTTGGATATTTCCCACCCGGAAGGCTGCTAAACTGAACTACCGTAATATTGCAAGAGAGAGACTCTATTAAAAATTAAGAGCAATGTGGGGAAGAATAAGGGGTGAGCAAACTATTAATTAAAGTGCATCCGAAAAAATTTAAAAAATATAAGGTGGCCAGGTTGGGAATGTAGTCTTGTAAGCAATGTAAAATTTAGTTTTTATGCGGTCTATTCATGCAACTCGCAACGTATGGGGCCCTTCAGTAAAATTCACTCTTGGCATTTCTTATGAGTACTGCCAACCATCGTTGCACAAACAAAAAAGACAAGTGTCACGAGCCGGTGCTCCACTGCCGTCCGCTTCCAAGGGTTGCTCATTTCGGTGCCGCGCCACCATTTGCTTTCAAGGGCTGCATGAGGCACGCGCCTCCTACACTAATGCATTCGATGCTATTTCTGCAAGACAAACACAAACGCATTGAGTGGCTTTAGTGATGCATGCTATCGCTGGCCGATTTCTTGGATGCGGAATTTTCGGACGCACTAAACTATTCGAACACCTGAGGGGAACTGTCACTTACCCCATAGAGCAAACGTTTAACGGCAATTGAGATTTTAGGTGCCATATAATTCATTGCCAGATTGTTTCGGCTTGGTTTGCACCGTTTCCCCACAAGACTGCCGCCGTGAAATGAGTCACCGCCATTTTGCCTTTGTCATGTAGCCTCGTACCACATCCCATGTTCTACGCAAAGAACCTTTTCCTGCTTACAAACATAAACTGGCGCTTGCATCCCAAGTGACATCCGGTCGCTTCGTCTTTGCAAGCCTGTCGAGCTTGCTTGTGTCACTAGTGCTAAAAAGCATTAATGCTACACGGACAACAAAGGTGGAGATTTAACGAGGGCCTTCGGCTGTACAATTAAATGTTTTGGAGGAGACAAGTTGGTTTAAAAGAATATTGAAGAAATCTGAACAGCTCTCGCACTTCATTTTTTTGGCGTTACCCGGATAATTGGTGACTGAACGTTTCATAGACATTTTAAGCAGCAGTGTTAAGGTTTGCTTTGTTCATTCTTTTTATGAACCTGAGTGGGACCGTCTGGCGGCGTTTGCCACGAAAAAGGGTCTATAGAGAAGTTGGACTGAGGCTACAGTCAGATGTTCCAGTTTCGTCACCACGGCACAGCTGCAGTTCTTGTTATCTTGTTTGCATGCAAGTACTTCCTCCTAGGGGTGTGTGAACACTGCTCCAAATCGAATAGGGCAATGTCGGCCCTGGCTTCACTACTGCAGAGAGAGCCGGTCAGCAATCGGTTTTCCTAGCAAGGTGAAAATGCGGTGCCACTTCATATGAACTAATCAGGTGAAAATATGGAGTGGCTACCTTATGGTGTACAATCAAGAAAATTTGAAAATTGCTATTTTTAGATAGTGTCCCTTCCAAGCTTGTTATGGTGGCAAGGGGCAACAAAGCAAAAATGACTGTACTTCCCAGTCATCAACGTTTGCTTATATCCCGCCATAGCTAACTAGCCGCACTTACGCCGAGGCCATCTTTGATCCCAACACTACTATTACTAGCAGTGGGCTATCTTTCAGTGTTAAAACAAATAGAGCAAATTAAGCCGAAAACAGGGGCGGGCTATCTTTTGGGGGTGGGGCAGCTCTCGAGATTTTACTGTAGACGCAAAGCAATCTCGCTAAAAGAAGCTGCGGCCCACCAGATGCGCCGCAAACGACGAGGCGCGTCAAGTGCTCCGGGCGACCACGCTACCGGTCAGCGACGGCGGCAGTCAATCACCGATCGTTTGTTCCATGGTATCTCTCTGCCGATCGTTAGGCGTCGCTACTCAGCAGCGCATGTCCCCGGAATGGCCCACAGCGTCCACGACAACTAGCGCCACGAGAGAAAAAGGCAGTCAGTGGCGCAAACTACACAATCTTGCCTTCACCTATGTGCGGCAGTGCAACATGACGGGCTGTCTGTTGTTCTTGACTGAGCGGCCTTCATCGCCCGGGCACCTGGACCTCGGCAAGTTTTCTCATTTAGTCAGACTGTCGTAGAAGACAAAGTCAATCGTGGACTCGCGACTGACGACGGATCACAAGCACGCTCTGAAGTGTCCCGTACCGCAGATGGAATCTGCGCGAGGAAGCAGTCCAGCGAGCGAGCGCTTAAGAGCAGACGACCAGACGCATCACTCCCGAGGAAGACGAAACAAAAACGTAAAAAGCATAGTGCACTGTTTTTGTAACTATTGCAGCTTTATGTTCTCTCTCTGTGGAAAATTAACATTTGTCTCATACTCTCACTTGCTCTTGTCATCTACAAAAGCATACCATGAAATCCCGAGAGATGCCCCATCCCGAAAAGGTAACCCACCCCTATTTTTGGCTTGATTTGCTATTTTCTTTTAAACATTTAAGATAGCCCACTCCTAGTAATCGTAGTGTTGGGATCAATGGCGACCTCAGCATAAATGTGTCTAGTTATACTCTGCTTCACGGTAACTTGGCGAACTGTGGAGGCTAGGGCCTCGCGATCCAATAAGAGCGCCGGAGCGAGGCACATGACCCGACGTCACGTGAGTATTTGTGTCACCACGCCAAATGCAAGGCGCGAGGCCCGGAGGAATCAGCTGTCGTCTGCTAGCCAAGAGCCGTCTGCTCCACAGTTCTGTGGGGACCGCATCCTCCACACTTTGTTAAGTTATTGTGAAACAGGTTATAGCTATGGCGGGACATAATCAAACATTGCTGCCTGGCAATAACAGTCACGTTTGCTTCATTGCCCCTCGCCACTATAACAAGTTTGGTAGACACATGATCTAAAAATAGCATTTTTAACGCGATAGTGTTTAGGAGCTCGTGTCACAGGAAATCCAGCGTTGGCATCGGTGGGACCAAACATCCCATGATGCAAAGTGCGCAGCCACGTGCGACGTCACACGGGACGTCAAGCGTGTGACGTCGCACGTGGCTGTGACATCGTGACTTTATCGACCTGCTAAATTTTTCTGCCAAATTTAGCAAAAAATTTTCCCGCAAAATATGGCGAAAACTTTTCCCAACAAATTTAGCGGGTCGATAGAGTCATGACGTCACAGCCACGTGTCACATCACGCGTCACGTGACATGACATTACGTGACGCTACCGACTAGACCACGCTCACACGCTTGCATGGCTTGGGAACGTGCGCAGGTTTATATGATAAGGCTTTGCGAGCAGGTCCCGACAATGCTATCGCATTTCACTCTTAAAGGCGAAGCCCAGAAATAGCCGTCCCCCAAGTTGTTTCAACTTGTCTTGATTGCACGCCGAAAGTTAAAGTCCTTATTTTCAACCAATTTTCTTTCGACTTTAGGACGGCTATTTCTCGGGGTATAAGGGCACACATTTTGTAAGAACAGAGTTTGCAATCTCCACGAAATGTTGAGTTTTCGTTGGTCACATGTCGTCCTGGCTGCCAGAACATGCTCCTGCCATCGCCCGAGATGACCTCGGTGTGTAGGGCTCTTTGATTGCTTTTTTAATAGGAAATCGGCTGCGCATGATTGTGATTTAAGAAATTCTAGGATGCTCAGAGCCCGCAGAGTGAGCTCGGAAACCTCCTCTGGGCCCCTTTAAGCTTGGTTCAGTTGCAACTCGGGTGTTGGGGAATTTCTCAGTTGTCAGCAGCTCATGAATTTCTCTCGGTTGAAAGTTCAAGATCTCTAACCTAATCAAAACAATAAAGGCTTTTTTTTTTTAGCACATGAAAGTTTGGCACTTTTATTGAGTGCCAAGAATCCCAGTTACAAGTCATCACACAACCTCGGTTTTCTGCAGGGAAGATGATTCTCTTAGCACTCCCCTTTGCTAAGGTGCAAAGGGAGCCAAGTTGGGGCAAGGTAAAAAGTGGAGAGAGTATAGGGAAGAAGGAGGCGCAGCAAACAATAAACAAACAGTGACTGAAAGGTTAAAACACTTGACTAAAAGACAAAAAAAAAAGAAACAAAGAAAAAAAAAGGTTTTGTGCAGAGAAAGGCTTGGTCCTGGGAAGAGTCTCAAGACACCCGGGCTCGAGGGCACCCACCATCTTGGGAGACGTTCTTCCACTCAGGGTTGGGGAAGTCGTACTGGCCCGCCCGGATGCGCTTCTTCATTCCCGGCGAGATGGCCAGGCCGTGGTTGCTGTAGAACGGCGGGAAGCCGCACAGCCTGCGGGGAGACCGTCCCACACGGCGTTCGCACAGTCGTTCACGTAACATTCTCACGGGCCAAAACAAATTGGTATTGTCAAGGTGTCCATTTTCAATATACACAGAGTTCTTTTCTTTGGTCCTTTCAGATTTGTTTTAAAAATGTCGTAAAAGCAGGTGAGTTATACGGACCCCCAGGGGGACAAATTATCGGGGGGACGATCGTCGCAATAAGTTTGTTAATAAACAAAAATGTGTTAATGAACTGTTTGGTTAACGAGGATAAACATATGGTTAGAATCAGACTTTTAAAGACTCGGAACATGTAAGAAGCGCGGTGGCGAGCCAAAGATAGCACTCGTGCAACGGCTGAAAGGTGACCAATGCAAAAAAAAACGCGCCCGCGCAGTTTCTCCCTATCTTATCACCTGCACCTTTGCTCTGCAAGCCTTACACCCATTGCACAAGTGGTAACCTAACTACAGCGCAAAGCAAAAGGGTCGATGGTCATTTGGAGGGATTGCATAAATCGATTTGCGAACGTATTGAGTCAAGATCTTGTAAAGTGGTGTCCGAAGAATGTGTATTAAGGGTGTAAATATTTGACCGAACAGGCTATTTGTGCAAAACGTTAGAAATCAAGAACTTGAAATCCCTACCTATGGTGTCTCCCTGTCAACGAAGAACGCTCGACTGATTGGCTCTACAGCCGACAGATGGTGGCACGCAAGATTGCAGGTGGCTATACAGCCTAGACCGCAGAGAGGTCCAACTCAAACTGTGGGGAGTGCTTGTAATTTAATAGCGGATGTCTCATGCGGAGTGTAAACCGTGTTGTTGCATGGCAAGGAGAGGAAAGCAGGCGGAAAGGCGGAGACGCTTGCAGACGATTGATGCGTTTGTCATTTCCTTGCAGCTCGTATTGCACACGCAGTCTATAATGCACGCGCTGACAATCGAGCAGCTGAAAACTCTCCGTAATGCAGGCTCTTTACAGGTGGCCATGACGGGTGCTTTCCTCGAACTCGGCAATAGCAGAAAACGTTTCTGAGCAAGAAGCTACGTGCTCTTTTTCTGCGCGATTTGGCAGTGTACGATTATTTTATTCTACCGGTAAGACATAAAGAATGAAGGTTAAACGAGAGCAACAGTACAGACGTATTGTCTCATCTCTTTTCAACAATTATTTTTGGCTACACGTCGTCGTCTGCTTTGCACTCTGGTTGCTACCGCATCTCTTTTCTTGTCTGCAACTTTCAACCATGCTCTTATGGGCTGCGAGTTATCTTCACGGTGCGCTTAGCTCCCAACGAGCGAGTGAAGGTTGCTCTCTGGTACGGGAAGTGCCAGATTAAAAAAGAGGTCCGTCTATGTTTTTGGGCGGAGTTTGGGCGGTGACCTTCGGGCTCCCCTACAATTCTAAGCTGGGTGAGGCACCTCAACAAGAGGGGAAACCTCCGAAACCAGCCACTGACAAAAGCGAGGTCAACACCGAAACCGACGCCGAAAAACACGGTACTCGGTGCCTTCATAGGTGACCCCCACCCGTTGACCCAGAGGGCAATGCCGACAGATGTCGGCTGTTGTGCCAATCGGAAGCCTTTGGTTAGCACGTGGCCAGCATAGGTAGAAATTCAGAGTTTTTCATTTCCAACTTTCTACTCTCTTATACCCTTTGAGCCGTCTGCCTTGTGCACTAATATTTTCAGTAACCCGTCACCATCGCTCTCACCTTTACTATTAACACTACCACTCAACGATTTAACCGAGGGGTTGTTTGGTGAAATATTTATATCCTCAATGCAGGTTCTTCAGCCACCTCCATGAAATATCTTGGCTCGATACATTCAGAAAACAATTTATGCCGTCCCTTCGAGCAGTCATCCCTGACTTTCATGATATTTCTTTTTTTTTTTTTTATGATTACGTAGCCTAAAAAACAGTGGAACAACAAGCTGCACCATATGTTGCAGCTTGTTGTTGAACCACACAACTCTTCATAACCAAGTTTTAAGGAAGCCAGGAGACCAGGCTGGGAGACGCAGGCCCTTACCAAAAGTGAGGCCTGGCAGAGGTCATTGAGTTTCCAGATGCGCTGCAGGAACGCAAATAACGCTACGGTCGACTCCTGGTAACTCAAAGTCGCTTCATTCGAATTTTGTCGGTTAATTCAAAGCGTGGGCGTGGTCCTGGGAATTGCACAAACGAGTCTTCAAAGAATGCGTGATGCTTTAACCTCAAGGTGAGGTTAATTTTAAGGTTTTCGTTTTCTACGGTCAAAAAGTTTGATCATTTCGGGAGCGTAATAAAGACTCGTGACTACGGTGACCGAGATTAAATGCAAGCTTTATTGCTTTTACCCACTGTATGCACAAATGGGAAAACAAGGAACGAGCACAGTTAAGCCACCAGGCGGGTTGAGCTGCCAGGAGGGATACGATACGAAAGCAATCGACAATGCAATGATGTGGCGCGCACGTTCAACAAAGTTGGTCTCGAGGAATCACCCAGTCCCCGGAAATTTTCCGACCATCGAACGTATCGGTAGCTATGAATACTGTCAACTACTTAATTATCACGAAGACCTAATTTTTGCAAATTTCGCAAATCGCCTACCATTCGCAAAAGATAGGTCCCGCAAACAATTCTAGTAAAATGTAAACAATTGGAATCTATACTGAGATCCCACCACGTCGTAAAAATTAGAACCCGCAAATTATTCCAAAACTTCACCTTTGACCTAAATCTCGAAATATTGAGCCCGCAAAAAATAAGTAATTTACAGTATGTCGTAGGCGTACCGTAAATCGTGGGGAAATTTTTTCCGCTAAATTTAGCGGGAATATTTCCCTACTATATTTAATAGAAAAATTTCCCCGCCAAATTTAGCGGGGAAATATTCCCGCTAAATTGAGGCGCCGTATGACGTCACAAGGGTGACGTCATACGTGATGTCACCGTGACATCACACGTGACGTGACGTCATTATGGGAAAGGTCCCATCACGCAACGCGCGGTTACGCCACCCGCCGCCGTCGCTCAAGCTGAATACGGGCGCCTAAGAGCTACGCTCTAAAATAGCTCTAGGTTCAAGCGCTTTCTTTTTTATTCAAAGCGCGCTCTAATCGAAGCATTTCGCCGGCCCCACGAGCTTTGAATTACCGGGAGTTGACCGTACGGGCAAGGACGAGCGAGTGAAGCGAACTGAACGGGTGTCACTTCTCCCGCCGGTCCTCTCACATGGCGCGATTTGCGTTCTCGCTACGTCCACCCAACCGGTCCGTCTGGCCGAGACGCCCCATTCCGTTAGTCGAGGCGTACCGCTCGGTACTTGGCGACTTCTGCTGGACCCCTTAAGCCGCCGTCCCACCACTCGTACGTCGTACAAAGACGGGACGACAGAATTGTCTGCTGATGCAGCCCGTGCGTGTGCGAAGGCTTTGTACACACGAACGCTTGGAACGTATCTGCTGACAATCTTTGTACGACCGACATGATGGGTATAAGGAAGCCTCTGAGAGCGCTTTGTACGACGTATTGGCAGGGTGACTGCAGGGGCGGATTTATGGGTCGGGCCTGGGAGGGGCTGTAGGCATTCGGCTGGTGGAGCAGGAGGGCGGCGGTGAGTCTGCTGAGACGGCCGAAACGTTGCCCAGATCTATTTTGTTGACCCAATATTTGCAATCTCACCAAAACCTAAACTTTTGGCTGGTGTATATCAATGATTTTATTTTCAAAAAGTTGACCTTAGGGAGCTCAGAAGAGGCAAGGGGGGGTGGGGAGGGCGGTTGCCCCCCCCCCCCCCCCCCCCCCCCCCCCCCCCTTTGCCCTTGGGAAGCCGCAGCTTTGGGGTGTCAAGAGGGGAGGCAGTACTCACAGTATGTACATGATGACCCCCAAGGACCACATGTCGCACGACTTGTCGTAGCGCTCAGGCCCTAGAACCTCGGGAGCTGCAAAGCGAGGAGACCGCAGGCAGTCAGTGGCTCGTATAACCTTCGTACAGTATAGACCACTTACAACGTAACCGCTTATAGTGCGGGACCAGGTATAACGCGGCTTTTTTAAACCACCGGTTCGCCTCCTATAGAACTCCATGTATTTACATACCGCTTAAAATGCAGGCGCGCGAAGGGAAATACCGGTTATAGTGCGGTTTCTCGAACAGCCCGGCGGCCGTGCCGACTAACCGACGCAGCGAAAACGCTTCCCTTTGCGGCGCTAGATAACGGCGCGAGCCGCAAGCGGCACCCGCGGGGCAAGGAGGATGTTCGAAGAAGCGGGAAGAAGCGAAGAGAGAGGCTTCAGTTGCCATAGCGACGGAGGGACGCACGCACGTGTCGTTCACGTGTGTGCGTCCCTCCGCTGCGACGGTTGGAAAAAACCGCAACGACAGACCAATCGCAGGTCGAAGAGAAGTGTCCGCGCGCGTTACATGCCGGTCGCGGGCCGTCTATCCGCAAACATGGCTTTGGTTGTGATCGTCGACGTGGTAGACGGTGTGGTGGAGCTCATCGTTCCGCGTAAAAGCGCTATCCTTGACTGTGAATTTTCGTTGTGTGTCGCTATGATAACCCAGCACGTAGTAGAAGGGAAGATCCACCTACTTGTGCGGCGATGTTGTGGCGGCACTCTCAAGACGGCAGAAACGCCCGTGTCGTCGTGTTTGTTTACTTCGACTACAGTGGTGCTTTCTAAGCATGTGTTTTCGAACATCGCCCGGATTTCTTATTTGAAGCATTTCATGCCTGTGCTCGAGTTAAAGGTATTACTGGCGCGTACCGTATAAAGGATGCGAATTTTCACGCGTTTTCATCGCCGGAGAAAAGTGATTAGGGTTAGCAATCCTGAACACTCGCAACATCCGTCCGCGACGCCGTTAAAAGGCTCCGCCACGCAAAAGTCGCTCATTTCTTTCAAAATGTGTGACACACTTGAGAGAAAAGTGTACTAGTCTGGTGAAATAAAAGACTTTCCTCAAATTAAGCTTTATTTTTCATCTAACATAAAATAAATTCATTTACAAAGGTAAGTTGTCTGATGGCATGTATTTTTGCCTGAAAAATTGATGTTTTGGTTATAGCGCGGTACCGCTCATAGTGCGGATTTTCGCGACTCCCGCGACATACGTTATATGCGGTCTACACTGTACAACCTCTGGAGAACCTCCGAGCTTCGAGAAGGACTCTCCGCTCGGGAAGGCCAAGCTTTTAACCGTCAGTCTTATTTGTATGAAGTTTGCGGGGCACATTCGTAGCTGGGAAAGGGGGTGACATGCAAAGTTTTAAGCACATAAATTGTGCTTCCAAGAGTCGCGTAAAAGTACTAGAACGAATAAACACGACGCCCCCCAAGGAAAACAGTCATTTAGAAAAGGTAACGATAATGGCCTGCTGTTCTGGTGTAACCTACGCTACGACAACTGCGTTGTGCGACTGTGGGAAGATATTAGGAAAATTATGCCGCTTCTTAAGTGAAAATGGAAAGTGAAAAAAAAAAAGGGTTTCATTTTCCTGCATGCATTAGGTTGAAGACAGTGAAACAGCTTTTCGTAACAAAAGGTCAAGAAAATGCACAAAGTAATCACACTGTCACATTCCTTACAAAATTCCGGTATAGAAACTTCGAAAACTGGCTGCACACATCAAGTCGTTATAAAATGATAGTGTTCCCGAACCAAGATTAGATGTCAAAAAGCGAATCTGAGATAAGCGTATTCGAAAGTTCAGAAAGCTGCGGTTAAGATGGTGCCAGCATGTTGGAAATAATTTATTCCAGAAAAGATACTCCACTTAGAGAAGTTCAAGTTTTTGACAGCATACATTAGGATATTTGAAAGCTGATAAGACTATTTGCTAAAAATGTGACTTTTAAAAAGAACTTACAATTTTAAGGTAGTGTTTTTACTTGGCCCCTTAACCGTTTTGAACGAGCCTAGCTTGTCAACGTGGAGTTGTCCCCAGACCGTTCAGGACGATTATAGCTTGTCTGCTTTCCCCGGTTCACGCACTCAACCACTTTGGACGATCCAAGCTCGCTCATGGCTTAGTTTATGGCTGTGCCGACAGATGATATCGCTAAATTTTTTAGAATTTTGCTTCTCTTCTATTTAAGTCTGAAAATCTGTTTTTGGATGCGACCACTTTGATATTGAGACTACAATCAGGCAGTGTAGGGTCGGAAATTCCCCCAAAGTCTACTGTAAAAAGGGTTAAGGAGTCAAGCGGCCTCTATTGTTTTGGCTTCGTTAACCCTTGGAACGGCGTTGACATACTGGGACGTTCTGAGTGCTTCGTGCCGGAACTGCAACGTGCGGTTATGGATGAATTATCACCAATGGATAGCCCTAGTACCTAATGCAACACTCTTGTTTGCGTTAACGAATAATAAAACTTGTCCTCTCCCGATAGCAGTCCTACAGAATATCTTTCACAAACGTCTTCCTCATACATTATTCCATAAAAGAGTTCCGGCAGCTGCCATTTTGAATGTTAATGTGTTTTGTGTGTGTTTCCCTCACTTGACGTGGCGGTAATCCGGCGACGCCGAACAGTTGTGTTTGCATGCTGAGCCATTATTTTATGTAAACAGTGGAACGGTTTATACTAAAGTGTATGCCAAGAGTGAAAACACAATGCTTTGTGGAGCTCCAGAACGCTCCACGTAACGTGGCCCCTCGTATTGTGACCTGCATCGCTACTTATTTGAAGAACAGAACAGTGTAGTCGTCAATGGTTGCCAATCTTTAGGAATGATTCTAGGATCTGTCCTAGGAACAGTGCAAAAATGTTTGCTCAAGACTGAAGACGTCTAAAACCTTTCGTAATTTATAAGATTATTGATGTTTTATGGAACTTTCGCTAAAATTGCCGACTGGTATGATGGCCAGCAAACGGCAATTGATTCTTAAGAAACTTGAGCCTACACGATAACACGCAAGAAATAGCCTGTTTTAAACACTTGATACACGACAACCCGTCTCTGTGCAAAAGTAAAATACTTGGACCTATTTTTCAAACAAGCTGAATTGGGACACTCGTTTAGATCCCATATGTATAAAGGTTCATAAAAATATAATGTTTTTTGTGAAGTAAGTTGACAGCACAAAACTCGTCAGTAAATATTTTTTACATATTACATTCCGAAGCAACCAGCTCTAAAAAATGTGTTAACTGTGTGGGAACCATAGCTAAAAAAGGACACAGAAAGAGTTGAGACGCTACAGCAACCGACTGTGCAGTTAAAATTTACAAATTAAAAACCTTTTTTTTTTTCTCCCACAACCGAAATGTTTACGAAATGTAATGTTCGATCTGTCGAGGTTAAAATAAAGGTTTGCAGGTGAAGCTTATTTAAAGATCTGCAATAACAAATCGGGCCTAAACCGAGATATGGACTCGTTGCCACCTTCCCCAGGAACACGCAAGCTTGAACTACTTGAAAGTGTTGGACCATATGAACTCAAAACTAATGCGATCAACCTCTCCTTGCTTGCTGCATTTGCCGACTGGAATTCCTTCCCACCCAACCATGAGCACACAATTCATCCACTGACAGTATCAGTTTTTTCGGGAGACCCCTGCAATTCTCTCCAATTAGGGTGGCCAAACTTAAATTAAAAAAGAAAAATTAAGGATGCTCAATAGACCATTTGCTAAATCCCCCACGTGCCCCAACATGCACTCGAGCAATTGTGGGAATGGTGTTCCATCAGTTACCTAGTGACTGGTAATTTTGACCAATTAAATGCTTAAACACTTAAGTGTAATCCAGAGTCATCCTGAATAAGCGTCGTGTAGACTGCAGAGACCTGTCATTATCCTTAAAACTTCTTTTCAGCGTCAGCAGTTTTCGCACTGTGCATGCAATCCACCCTCCCACCTGGCTGAGCTGCGGGAATTTCTTACAATATTATCATTCTTGTGATTGTTGTTTCAGCGGGAATTGCTTAAAAAGCCAAGAATTTGCAACAACCAAAACCAGGATTTAGCTCGGGCTCAACGGGGATTTTTATAGCATTTTTAGCGTTTCTAAGTTAATATTAGCGTCTCTGAAGCTGTGTGAGTATGGAAGAGATTTCTGTGGCTCAGCCAGGGTGAAGGGTGGATTGCAATACACAGTATCAAAAGCACTGACATTGACCAGAAACTCTAAAAGTGATATGACAGGTCTCTGCAATCTGCACGACGCTTATTCAGGATGACTCCGAATTACACAAAAAAGTGTGTATCGAATTGGTCGAAATTACCGATCACTAGAGCACTGAAAGAACATTGTTCCTATGATTTCTCTAGCGTGGGTGTGTGCGCTTGGGGGATTTAGCAAATGGTCTATTCTCAGTTACGTCGCAGCCCATAATAAAAGAAAAGAAGTAATGAAGGGAAAATAAATAAATCTAGCCCTGAAAGACACTTTGTATGTTCAATAAGTTTCACTATTAGTTAAGAAAATGCTAGTTATTATTTCTGGGTACCCAAGCCTATGATGAGAGTGAAATAAATACAACGACAAGCGGGGACATTATGCCAGCAATTTCACACGTAAACATAGCCGCTTTGTGAAGCGATGCTGCACAAGAGAGGGAAGGGTGACTCACCGACGTAGTAGGGTGTGTAGCAGGGGGTCTGTAGGGAGTTGAAGTTTGTGGTCTCCTTGGCAAAGCCAAAGTCCGTCAGCTTGAGCACTGCGCTGTCGTCGGGTTTGGAGTACAGCAGGTTCTCCGGCTGAAGCACGACAAGGGAGAAAGACCCAAACTGTCACGTTTTGTGAACATCATTTGTTTTCAAGGAAAGCATTCGAGGGCCTTAAACAACATGCTGAAACTTTTCAAGAACTCGGACACCTCAAAATCCCCTCATTTTAGAGCAGTGTGCAAAATGCAAAAAACCTTCCGCAGCTTCTTTTCACCATCCTAACTAGTAGAACTTCGCACTTATCCGGAAACTTCCAAGCTCTGCAATGTAAGTCATTTCCCTTCTTTGGCCATCTTGACGAGTCTGGAGGCGTGGCGAGAACGTTGATTGTCGCTGATTTACATTAATTTGCTCGCGCGTCACTGATTCGCTCAACCATTAACGAGGCACGCTTGGACTAGACCTTAACGACTTCTGAGGGCTTAAATGATACTCCGTCTCACCGTAACTTGGCAAACGGTGAAGGCTATGGTCTTAGTGAGCCAATGGGTGCATCGGAAAGAGACAAATCTCACTTCATTTCACTAGTTGAGGGCGGAACTGTCCAAGCCACGGGCCAGCTACAAGAGGAGTTCCTCCCTCCCCTCCCACCCTTGTAGCTTTCGTAAGCGCTGTCGTGTGTTTCGCCTCTTTCGCTACGATTAGGTCGAGGGGGCCATAGCGTTCGCTCTTTGCCAAGTTATGGCTAAACAAAGTACCGATACTGAATGACTTTCGAGGTTTTCGAAGACCACCCATAACCTCACTAACGAGTCCACAGCAACAACTGAGCAGCGGCCAGCTCGGCGGGAGACAACGGTGGTACCGCAGTTGACACTGCCGTTGTGAAAGGCAGTTGCTATCTAGAATTAGGTCCTTCGATACGCAGACTACCAAACGTCGTCAGCTCAAACATTAGGATGTCGGCTGGACACCAGTAAAAAAGTGACAATGCTATTGAGATGCGGAACACAATATTTTTCTGATCCAAACCAACTGTCTGCTGGAGAGTCGAGACACTCCCAGAACTTTCTTGTTCCCATGTTATATGGTAGCTCTCGCAACGAGCAACCTAGGGCTCCCTTCACTCACGAAAGTGTTAAAGGTCGTCGGTAGATTCTCCTCTTTACTAAAACGGGCTGCTTCCTTAGAAGCACTCAAGCTATCGCCGGAATTGTCCGAATTTGGTGGGTGAAGCGACGACAACAGGGCAGAAAGAGCATATACTATTTTGTTTCACTCTCTTCCAGACTATTTTTTAAATTATTTTCTGCCAACCTTTTTTCCCACAGTATATAATGTTATATCTGGCCCTTTTTGCCGAGAGCTTATTTTTTTCGCACACTTTTTCACTTTTATAATCCCTTTGTCATGCTGGACTTCTTTCTGCTAGGTCTGTGTATCCCACCGCACGGTGCATAGTGCATATTTCAGACTTTGAGGAGATGTAAATTTAAAGCACCACTGCACAAACAAAAACGTGCTTCCACGAAACAAATTAAAGAGAGTGATGCCGAAGTGCAAGTCAGATAAGCTCGTGCACAATCCCAAAGGTTTAAACAGGTGCAGTATACCGTGAAGCAATATTATAGCAACTACTTCAGTTACGAAAGACCCTGTGGCAGGAATAACAAACTTTCCACATAAGATAGGAGTGGCAAAATCTTTTCTAACTGGCAAGTGATGCCACAAATGCAAGTTTTCCAACAGGGTTATTTGTGTAAACAAACATGACTGTACATAAGCAAAAGAGTCACTGGGCACCACAAACAACCATTAGAAAGATGACAAGCCAACCCATGAAGCAGGTGGTTCCTGTAATAGACTTCCCAGCTACACTTTCGTGGACACGAAGGACCACGATAATGCTAAGAGCACATCTTTGGAAATTTAAGGATGTGCCCCAAACAAATTAGAGTCTGCCTCAACAAAACCTTTCCATGGAGTGGTCGTACGTATTTCCTAAAGGCCTGTTTACACACACATCACAACGCCAGTCAGTGCTGAAAACAGCGCTGACCTAGCTGATACAAAGCTGACTTCGCACTATGTTGATGATACAGCGTTTATACAGTGCTGCACCAGTGCTAAGCTATGTTCAAGTCAAGTCAGCACTGTTCCTAGCGGTGATTTAGCACTGTGATGTATCTGAACTGGCCTTCAATAGTGCAGCAACCCCAATTAAGAGTCATTACTTAAAGAGATACTACAACGAAATTTTGGAGCTTATATTTTGGTCTATACGTGTTCAAAAAGGAGCAGTATCACATCGGACACACCAATATCTAATTAAATAAGGCACGAAAAGTAATTTAAAAATAAATTAAACGATTAGCAAAGAGCACCTGGTGGATGTCGCTAAAGCCTCGTTTGTAATGCCCGTCTAGGAACCTTGAAAGGAAGTGACGATAACTGTCTCGCCTATAGTCGGTTGCAACCTAAGAACAATCTTTTAGCTCCACCCACAAGCGCATTGCGCCCATCTGAAGTGCCTCCGCCGTCGAGAAAGTAGTTCGCTAGCAACGTTGCTTTTTCTTCCTCCAGGAAACCTGTCTTAAACTACTACAATATTTATTTAATTCATTTAGGACATTTAAATAAGTTAGAATACGTTTTTGTCAACGAAATAGCTGCTTAGTAAAGAAAGAAAGAAATTCATGTCCAATGTACCGTCTTCCCAATTCATTTTCTGTCCAAGATACTGCCTAACATACCGTCTAACATACCTCTCAGCAGTGCTAAGCCTCGCGCCCGCTTCGAAATTTTCGTTGGCGATAGCGTCGCTGGATTCTCACGTTGTCGCGCAAAAACTGCTGCAAACGCAAGCCGATACCATCAAGATTTCGTGGCGTAACCTCGGGCACGTAAAACACGGTGCAAAAAAGCAGAATAATTGTCATGAGAAACTATAGCATCGCGTTGCTAAGGCCAGCAGCCATGTTGAGCTTTTTTTTTTTTCAAAAGGATCGCGATTGGTCCACAGAATCGTGACGTCATGAAAACAATTGGCTGGCGTTTCTCGGCGTAGGATTACATTTTCCTCTGAGAGGCATTTCCGGTTTTTTCTTAGCTTGCAACCGACTATAGAACTATACAGGCTTTGAACCTGACGTCATCCCGACAGCTCTACGGCCAGCACAAGAGAAGAGGGGAGGGATGAACTTTCCACTCTACAGGACTCTCTTTTGCGTCCCTGACATAGCTATTCTCCCTCTACAGGATTATAGAAGAATAAACCGTCACTCAAAATTCACACAAAAGCAGATTTGCGGTTAGTTGCAGAGGCCCGATCGCTGGCCTGCTTCGACCGCTTCGGCGACTGGGTGACTGGAACGGTTAGGGCATCCTGTCGACGTCAGCCTCGCTGCAGCTTTGCTCATCCTGAGACAAACTATGTCACGATTGCGCCGGATGTGAAATGCTCTCCGCTGGTTGCTCTCCGAGCGCTTGCCAGAGTGGGCCGTTTATAATGAAAAATACAGCCATCGGGCTCAAAATACAAACGTGCGATTGTCATTTACAGATATTGTGGACCATATTCAGCCTATTTCTGAACATGACGTGTGTATTTCAAATTTCGTTGAAGTATCCCTTTAAGGGGGCGCTAAGGTGGATTTTGATATTGACTCTTTATGGCGTAAACTCGATCTATGCACCCCAAGCATCCTATTATCCTATAATAGCCAACATAACTGTCATGCTGGTGTTTCTTGCCTTTGAAATTGCGACCACCCCTTTTTCTTAGATATCACGAAAAAAGGGGCGTGTCGTGGGGCTTTGACGCCTTTTTAAGGCCGAAAAACGCCACGCGTGATTGTAATTTCGGCTTCCATAGGATGCTCAAAGTACACATATTGAGTTCGTGCCATAAAGAGACAATATCAGAATCCACCTTAGTGCCCCTGGTTCCCACTGGTTTCTAGCATTTACTGAAAAACAGCCATAAATCTGTGCCAGATGTTATTTCAGCAGAGCAACAAATAAAAACGGGCCCAAAAAGCTTAATTCACTATTCTGCATTTACCTCTATTCTGCTCCCGACACCTTGTGTGCAAACAGAGCAGAGCTGATATTAATGAGGTCACACCAATTATAATGACAAGTTGCTGTCTTATTCCATGCAAAAAGACTCGGCTAAGAAAAGCACCTTGGTTATATGTCATTATACTACATTTTTTCTAGATTTGCAAGGAGAAAATCGCGCCTCTGCACAATTCCTGCTACAAACTTTAAGCGCCGGATTACGCCTACATAAAACAGATGCCGATGGACACCAACCTTAGGATCTGGCGTATATCACAGCCAGTCCTTCAACACAAAGGAAAATGTAAACACCTCGGTCATACAAATAAAGTCGGAATTGTGCAGAATGCAGACTGAGGGCCGTCATAAAGCCATACATTATATTTTCCACTAAATTTAGTGGACAATGGCTACTCAACATCATAAGCACAATGGTGGTCAGGTAATGCCATCGCGACGGTGGCCGCACGAGACTAATCTCCCAGCCATGTCGTGTCACGTCAGGTCACAAGTGTCACGACATTAGAGAACGTCATGGTGTCACGTGAGACTACGTCACGTGTCCCGATGTCTCGTCACGTGATCATATGACCACGTAATGAGACACCATGCTCAGCTGTCATGTTTTCCAACAGTTTTCTGCGATGCTCTAGACTTACAAACCAGCCCATAAAAGCATTCCACCTTAAAACTCACAAAATGAGATAAGATATAGCCAGGCACACAACTATCCCATTGCAGATAAGGCATCTCCATCCGTTGCTTGGCGGCAACGGACCGCTTCCAAGCGTTGCGAGACTCGGTCAAAGGGCCAGAGGTGCACGTGCCCCGTGGATGCAGGCTCACCTTGAGGTCCCTGTGAGCAATGTTCATGCGATGAAGATGGGCCACAGCCTTGCAGATGTCTCGGATGATTTCTGCCGCCTCTGCAAGGCGAGGGGGGAAAACATGAGGAGCCAGGCACCTTTCGAGAGGCAACAGAAATGGCACCCTGTGCTGCAAGAGCGCAACCCGTGGGCAACTGCCTCGGGCGGCAGAATTTTAGGGGGATCTCGGAGGATTTCCTGGAATTCTTTGCCCCATTGGCCAAGAAAGGGGTCACAGATCATTTTTCCGAGTCTCTATGTAACAAATTCAGACTTTCTCGAAGCTTGTGTTCATCAGACACAAAATTCAGCGTTGCTTTTAGTGTTTAGAGCATCCCTGACAAGGGGCTCAATTCCACGAAATGGGTCCCTAGGAATGTGGGGGTTCCACAGAGCCCTGTAGCTTCTTGGGCTCCCAAATTTCGGTAGTCGGTATGCTGTTCATGCGCAATGGTGAGCCAGATTTTCTCTAGTATTTGCATTACAGTTCACAAGGTCTGCAGACTTCTATGCCGCTTGATTGCGTCAATGCCCGGACTGGGGGAGGGGTCTCTCGGCCACGTATTGAGAGATGCAGGCGGTCCCTGAAATAAAAAGCACCCCGGTGCAGGGCGAGAAGAGCTATACTGAGACTTTTGATTAGGCTAGTCAGTTCATACTTGACATTAATAAAATGGCGCAAACTGAACAAGGACGAAGATGCACACGTAAAACAGGACTGGCGCTGACTTCCAACTAAGTTTATTGCAAGATCAAACTGAGCAATAAAGAGTGGTGGAGGCGGTTTTGGCCTTTTGTAGCAGGTTCTGCAGCAGGCAAAATATTGGTTTGGAGCAGCCGCCGACGCTTTTTGAGCAGATGCCTAAATCTGTTAGCACACCACTCGAAAACGAAAACGTGATTGCATCGTTAAATGAGTTCATATTTGATGATTGAGAGTTCCTCTTTGATACTGGAGCATATTACTTATTACCTTTCTTTTGTAATAGATAGGGCACGAAAGGAACAAGGAGCCTTCTTTTTAGGAATAAGACTCTGGTGAGAGTAGGTTCCATTTACAATGGATACTCAAAATATAGACGAAAACTGAACTATAGCGCAGCCCTTCAGTCGGGATAAAGCTTCTTTCCCCTCTCGATTTTACACTCCGCAGTTTCCCTGGTTCTGTTTCATCATGTTAGCCGCCATCCTAGTATTTTGTAAAGTTTTCTCGCGACTTTTAGTTCAGAACGTCGCAGACATCGTCTGGAAATTTAGACGATGTCGGCGACCAACCCGCCGGCGCATCGACCGGCCAGAGCGATTGATGAGCAATCTTTATACTTAATTTCACCCGAAGTCAACCTACGAGCCAAGGGCACCAAGAGAACAGCATCAAAGCGTGAAACATTGTGGCACTCGTGATCTCCCTGTGTTCACCGGCTAAACCAATGGAGTGCGGCGAATGCCGCGTGACTTGTGCTTTTACTATGTGTGTTTAAGGTTTTATGCATTCGAGCCTTCGACCGTGCTGACCCGAGATGAAACAAACAATATAGTGAGTAGAGATGCCGTTAAATAGATATTAAAGAGCAGCTCTTAGGCGCCCGTCTCCGCGTTTTGCGGTGTCGCCATTGCCGTAACCGCCCCACTAAATTAAGCCGGGAATCTAATTGATTTTGAGGTGATGTGACATCAATTTTCCCACTAAATTTAGCAGACAAACTGAATTCGTTCGTGGGTGACGTGACACGAAGTCATGTGACATCATTTTCCCCACTAAATTCAGCGAGGAAACTGAATTGGTGTTGAGGTTACATGACGTCAATTTCCCCGCTAAATTTCGCGGGAAAACTTAATCCGCTAAATTTAGCGGGGAAACTTAATCCGCTAAATTTAGCGGGGAAATTTTCGCTAAATTTCCTGCTAGATTCAAAGGGAAAGTTTAACGGGAGGAGGAGAGGAAAAGGAAAGGAGGAGAGGATGAGGAGAGGGTACAGATGAGAAGGAGGGGCATACCCTCCCCTCCCCCATACCCTCCTCTCCTCCTTCTCAAAAGCTGCACTCTAATTTCACATTACAGAGAATTGTAAAGATCTAATTTTTTTTTTGTACCATTTTTTCCTTTTCTACTTATCTGAATATTAGGGTCATCCAATAATAAAATACTTTTATTTTTTACTTTAAGCCCATCTTGCTGAAGATGTGGTGCAATTCTGACAGCACTTGCATCACTGAATATATATACCATCCCCTGTGGGGAAAAAAAACACACACTTAGATAAAATAAAAACAAAAATTACACATTAAAATACTTACCCACTATGCAAAAAGTGATTCAGATAAGACCACCAAGAACAACTTCTTAGTCAATGGGACATACCAAAGGCATGCTGATGCACTTGTCTCCAGCCTTCCCAATAAAAAAAAAGCCTCTATTATTTCTCTCTCCAACTCGTCCTTCACCTTTCAATAATGTCACAATTAGAGTCAAGCCTTTCACAATACGAATTACCGCATGGAAAATGAGCGTACAGTTAATTAAATACCCCCGCTGTCTCGAGCTGAGCCAGGCCACAAAGACGAGCTCCCTTCGGCCGGATGTGCCGACTGTGATTCTGGTGCTCGGCGAAGCGGAAGGCACCCCTTTTAATTGGTCGCGCCAACACGTACGCGGACGATAAAAGTCGTCGCTGCCACTATGTGCAAACTCTGGCTATTCCTTGGTCCAGGGGTTCCCAAACTTTTCAGTCTTCCCATCTCTCTCGACCGACGATCAAGGAACCCCTCGTGGTCTCAGCATCGACGCAAGGAACTAGCGTGGAAGCCTGCAGACTTCGTAAACAATAGCGCATATACTAGCGAGTGTTTGGCATGAAGTTTTGCATCGACAGAAGGCTCAGATTTCCTAAAGTAGTGCCTAGACTGCGCAACACTTTACCCAGGGTAAGAACGACCTAGGGGGTATGGGGAATGCCTAAGGATACTTTGGGGAACCCCGGGGTTCCCAGGAACCCAGTTTGAAAACCCACACCCTGCGGGATCACTGGGCAGGTTTCGCCTCCTGCCCGTCATGCAGAGGCACGAGAGCTACCGAGAGAGTTTAATAGAATATTGAGTCCCCATCGTTAGCGTGGATGACGAGGGAGCGTTCAGTCTTCAAGAAAAGGAGGCCAAAGAAAGGCTAGAGCAGGGGTGGCCGAACTGCGGCTCTCAAGGGCCGCACGCAGCTCTTCGCGGGTCCAGGCACGGCTCACAGCTCTCTGGTAAGCGTGCCTTCCTTCACCTGCTCTGACCCCAAAATAAAAAAACTCTAGACTCACAAAACTCTAGACTCACAGCCTTTGCAGTTTTGTACCACACCACGTACATACCGCTAGACGGCTTTTTGGCACATAGGTGTGTCCAGTGACCCTGTTTCCTTTCTTGTTCCAGGAATAATTTCGAACCGTATATACCTAACGGACGTTGGGGCAGTGGCTGACTAGCGAACCATGCATTCATTTTTGCTTAGCGGTTGAAGAAACATTCCGCTGCCTGGTGTTAATTGTTGTAGTCAACAATTATACTTGTCCCCTCTGGAAAGGACTGCTCCCATCGTATCATTTCAGTTCCCCCCCCCCCCCCCCTTCCCTTTTTTTTCCCCTGCTCTTTGAACTTTTTTTAGTTTCGTCCGCGGCTGTAACTTAACGTCTCTCTGGCCACCACTGGGCTAGAGGACGTTTAGGCAAGGGATGTGTCCAAGAGGAAGGCCCATAAGGTGACCGACTTCAAGGATTGCCGTAATGCACGGCGCTACGTGACCGACGGGCCAAAAATGCGGTTAAGCTGAAACGTCGCCGTACACGGAGTTACCTAAGCGAAGACTCCAAGGCGGGCACGACGACAATTTTGCGCGGCTCCGTCTCCGGCCAACGCCGTCTGTCACATAGAGACGATCTAACGAGCTTCGTGCAACCGACACCTGCTAGATAACAAAGGCGCGGTGCCAAATTTTCTTTGCCACCCGCCGGTGGCCGGCATGGGGCGGATCAGACGAGAATGCCGCTTCGGCATTTGGCAGGACCCTGTGTCCTCTCCGACCGAACGCGCAGCCAAAGGCCGCCCGCAGCACTCTCGTCAAATTTGTGCGTCATGCTTGCCTCCTTTAGGGGAGGTAGAAAATCCACCGCAGCCAGGAGGTGACGGTGCAAGCGTGCCACCCCTGCCCATGGGCCGAACTTCGAGAAAAGAGGCAGGCCCTCTCCCGCTCACCCCTTTCCGTGAAGGCGCCCTCTGCTCGCTCCTGGATCCTCTGGAACAACTCGCCTCCTTCCATGCTGAAAGAGGGCAAGGACCACCGCTGAGAAAAGGGTCGAACGTTCCGTAAGCAGAACAAGAAAAACTTGTGCAACCGAAAGCAGGTGGAGGAAAACGGCGGGGAGGCAGCAAGAACTTCAGCACGCACGGGTCGATCCTGTCGCGAGAGTTAAGCTAGCCGTTTGTCCCCGAAACTTGGGCATCTGTCTGGCGAGAAGAGTTGGGCCTTGAAGAAAAGGTCACTCCTAGCATACACGTATGTATGCGCAAGGTCGACTGGACTCTAGAGGAAGGGATTCGGTCCACATATGGAGCAACCTGGGCCAAGCCTATCCAGAAAAGTGCTCCCCCACTGCTTTGATCCCAACCAGCGGGAGGGGGACGTCTATACTGATGGGGACGTTGACTTGTAAGCAGTGTTATTCTCATTTGGTACGCAGGCGTGAAAGTGCTGCATCTCCGAAAGACGCTGCCGACAGGGCTGCGGATAGTTTGAAAAAATTAGTCTGACTCAGCACAAACTAAAGGCAGAATTTTGCCGCCGCTAAGGGGAATAGCTGCACGAAAATTGCGGAACACAAAACTCCAACCTGTAAACTCCAGGAATCTTTCTTTTCTCGAAACAAAAACATGCAGTGACATCAGTCTGCTAACCGGCATAAACACGTACAAAACTAGCAGATATCCTGCAGCCTCCTCTCCCTCCCTCCCTCCCTCCCCCTAGCAGACGGCTTAACTTCATGAAAGAATAGCATGAGGTAGTTTTTTGTCGTCTGAATTCTAACAACGGCAATCTTCTTACCCTAATTTCATTGACAGCAATGGCATATCTTGAGAACAGGCAACAAATCTCTAACAAGCTAAAGCAAATATTTCAAAAGTTAATCAGTGAAATTAGTGTAATTAATTTGATACTGATCAGTTCACTCCTTACTGAACGTTCGCCGCAGTCAATAACATCCCGCAGGAATTAAGTATTCTAAGTGGTGAAACACCCTGTATGTCCAAAACCAAAAGGTGATAAAATCCAGATGACTGGTGTCGAAAAAAAAAAAAAGAAGAATTTAAATGAATGCAGACGCGGTAATCAGAAATATCAAATCTGCCCATGCGTCTCTGCGCCTGCAAAACTTGAAAAACTGGATGTAAATTACAAGGAAGGTGTTAGCAACGGCAAAAAGATATTTTTTTATAAACTTTCAGATGGCATGCAACAAAATACCAAAGAGTGTTTGGAATACCCACAAGAGGCATGTAAGGAGGATGGGGGTATTCCAAATAATCTACGTCGAAGCAAAGTGATTGAAGGAAGTTAACAAAAAATAAAAATTGTGTTATTAAAGAGCCCTTGAAAAGAAAAAAAATTGTTCTTTTTAAACAGTTTGGTTGGGATACGCATGTCAAGAAATAAATTTTACGCAGAAAAAGTTTTTTTAGACCAATATTGACGGTGCGAGATGCGATTTAGTCGGCAATCATCTCCTTTCTACTTGTTTTCTCTCTCGGAATTTCAAGTGCGTGGAGGAGAGGTGGATCGGCTTCGCCTTCATGACCGAGATGGTAATTCCGGAACGACCCATGACGTCATGGACTTCGTATGCAGAATTTCAAATTCATTAAATTTATTTATTGACACGTGTGTCCCAACCAGACTGTTTAAAAAAAAAACATCTCTTTTTCTTTTCAGGGGCCCTTTACATATCTATTTATCTTGGGCTCAACAACAAAAAATTTTTCTAGCTCCCCTCTCATGAAGAAACAGTAAATTGCATGTCGCCCATGGTCATCAGTGTAGAAGACGCAAGGAATGCTTAGATGAGCTTGATGTTGGGAAGACCCCAACGGGCTGTCAGGTAGAGTTTTAAAGTTGTGCTCGTCGATTGTGTCCCATTACTTATAGATCCTTCTTTTCAAATCGTTAGCAGCAAGTGTCTTCCCAAATGAATGAAAAACAATGCCAATCCACAATCATATGCCAAAATAAAGTGAATTATTGCACCACCTCACTGAGTTGCATGTGTTGCAAGATTTTGAAGCATACTATTATCTATTGCAGTGTTGAGAAGCACCTACCTACTAATATAAACGGATATTTTTCTCTAAATCAGCATGGTTATAAAAAGTACCCCTATCGTGTACTACACAACTACACAACTCAAAGGACTTTTGAGATAGGGTTTCAATTGCTGAAAGGGAAGGTGGCTTTGGATCATATTGTTAGTGCACTTTCTTTAAATCTTAACATCACTCAGATTATTACAAAAGCTGACCACTCTAAATTTCCTCATTTGAAATTTAGACAGGGCTCCAAAGACGTTGCTGTATGGAAAGACCTACAACTGAATATGGATGCGAATCGTAGGATCCAAACCAAAAGTACCTTGTAGGCAAACTGGGAAAAAAAGCCAGACACCCTGCTGCAAGTTTTATATGAGGAAGTTACAGTAGGAAGGTTAGTGCTACAACAAGATATTACAATTTTGATTAGTTGAAAGCCTTCATTGTCAAGGTGGAAAAACTCCAGAGAGGTTTTTGCAGTTTTTTTCAATGACTTGATGGAAACTGACAATAATAAGTACTTGCAAAGAAATATGTATTCTTTCCTTGTCTGGTTACTGCGTGGAATATGTTGCCCGAGTCTAATTTTATGTATGATGATGTGGGATCATTTCTCCTAAAATATAATCCTGATTTTTCTGTTTTGCTTTATGCACATTTACTTATGTACATTTTATTTTGATAGCCTTTTCAGTATTTTAACTGTATCTTAAATAACTTTTGGATAGTTAGTTCTTTTTCAGACCACCTATTATGGCAATGTAGGATTTTCTGCAAAAAAATAAATTGAATTCAACTAGTGTCAAAGTAGTGCCTTTTCCAATAAATACGAGAAACTGTTGCTGTGTCTAAACTAAGCAACCCAACATAATGACATTTTAACCTTACTAATTGTGACATGAGCCTCCATAAAAATTTCTTTAAGGACTTTACATAAAAAACAAAAAGCCCTAAAAGGCTATTTCTAGCTTACAACTACAAATCACCTATTTTTAGTGTGATGAAACAAATTGTTTTTAGTGTAATGGAACAATTGTTATTTCTTTCACAATTTGGCTGCTACACACCAAATGCTTGCTCTTATTAGTAAAAACTATAGAATCAGTGGGAACTTTTATGAACTTCCCAGATAAAGTAGCCTCCGATTATAGCAGATTATTTTGAGTAATTGTTCATCAATCAAATGCCCATAAAATTATTGTAAACATTTTATGGCTATGTCTTGTTAGTTATATGTAGGTTTCAGTGTTCACGGATAAATCGGAAAAACTCAGGAAAACACCGACTGTTCGGTAAAATTTTCGTCAATTGGCAAAATAAAAAAGCAATGAAAAGCAAAAAGATGCATTTTCGAATAAATTGGGTGAAAGCACAGGGTCGATGGTCTTGAAGGGAGGCCACTTCATTTTCATTTGAAATATTGGACTATTTACAAAAGGGAGTTCACCGTCTATCTCATCAAGATTCATTGAGAACACCAACGGGTCACCGTACTTCTGGGTCACGACAAAAGCCACTGTTCCACTTTCCAGTTAGGGGCATACTATTTGCGTTTCTTAGGGAGAGAAGGGGTTGTGTTTTTATAATAATGAAAGCTATGAAACTGAAGATTTCATAGGAGGGGGGCAAGGTAGCTGGAGCTTCCCTGTTTCCCAGCGACTGCGGTCAGGTGTTTAGTCATTTCGAAGTATTGACCTTACTTCAGGCAATACCTTTTTGCAAGATTTGTCATGGGACAGTTAGTAACGGTCCTAGCAAGAGCGCCAAAGCCAAATGAAGCTGCAGACATCATTCAATACAGATGAGTTCTTACGAATTTATTGTATGTATGTGTCCGGATTTTTTTTTTTTTTTTTTTTTATAGTGAAATACTGCAAACAGTAAAATTAATCTATAAATTTTAAAGAATTGGAAATCTAAAAAAAAAACTCTGATAAACCTTGAATTTTCAGCGAAAAACAATTGAAACACACCCTCCGAATTTAGTGAAAAATAAACTCCAAAAACATGGAATCGTAGTTACATCTGAACTAGACTGACTATTAATCGCTATGAGAATTTCAAATTCTTTTGGCGCATAAGGACTTGATCACGCCCAAACTGTTACCCACGGCCAGATCACATCTCTGTATCACAGTGTTCATGGACCAAAGAGATCGGAAATGCCATCACCAACCATCCTGACATTATTTCAAGCAAGACAAGAATCCAAGAATTGCCACATCCAAAAACCTCCAGCCTCAACAAAGAGTTTGATTCACACATTCATGCTCTAAACCTAAAAAACAATCCCCCCCCCCCCCCCCCAAAAAAAAAAATCAACGAGCACAAGTTGATGGTGCTGCCACCTCACAACTAACACCAAAGTTATACGGCAAGCAAGTCAACCAAAACGCATCACTTTGCGAAGGGGAGTGGAGATCTGAAGAATGAGGAGTCTCTCCACGAATCAGAGGAGGCGTAAAAAAAGGTGAGAGGGAGGGATAAGTGAGCAACAAAGCTCCACCCCCAAAGATGTTATGCGGTGAACAAGTTCGTCTGCTCCTTGCACAGGGGTTGCAATAATTTCAGAACGCCAAGCTCTTATTGGCGGATTGAAAAAAGTAGTGGGTAGACCTCAAGACATTAGCATTAAAGGGATACTACAACGAAATTTCGGCGCTTATTTTTCGGTCTATAAGTGTTCAAAGGAGCAGTTCTCACATCGGACACACCAAAATCCTGTTAGCGAAGACACGAAAAGGAATTTCCCCTCTCCCCGAGAATCTCTTTTGTCAGTCCCAGAAGTCACTATTGTCCCTCTACAAGATTATAGAAGATTATACCGTCACTCAAGATTCGTACAAAAGCAGCCCCTTCGGTGGCTGGAACGACTAGGCAATCCTCTCCACGTGAGCCCTGCCCGTGGCCTCGCCGCAGCTTTGCCCGTCCTGAGACGAGCTACGTCACGATTGCGTTGAAT